ATAATGTCCAGAGAATAATTTCGGATTACAAAGATTTGGTTAAAACACTTTGTGGTCCTGTACACATTCCTACTTCACAAGACACCACACAACCTACTCCAACACAACATAGCATGCAACCAGACACTACCAAACACCCTACACCAGAACAAGTAATGTCTCTGAAGAATTTCCCCTACATTCATCGGCATGAATTTAAGGTTCATGGGGGCCAAATTGGGGATCACTCATCTGACATTAGTTATAACAGTGTGTGTAGACAGATTGAGGAGGGAGTTAAGGACAGTTTTATTGACTCTGAGATAGTGAGAGCTGTGCTGAGGATTATCAAACCCGGAAATTTCAAAGACATGCTAGTAAATAAGGAAAACATGATTGTAGCTGAGCTGAAGGGGTTCTTCCAATCACATTTGGGTGAGAGAAATAGCATAGAACTATTTCAAGAGCTTATGTGTGCAAAACAAAATGAAAATGAAAACCCTGCAACAGCTCCTCTATCGTGTTATTGGCTTGAAACAACGAATCCTTTTCGGTTCAAAACAGTCAGGTAACGGAATCCAGTACAGTCCAGACAGAGTACAAGATGTATTTTTACATACAATGTATCAGGGGATAGGACACAAACACAGTGACATTCGCAGAGAGATGAAATCCCTACTTTCAGACCACACAGTTGCGGATGAGAGAATTCTTAAGCACGTCATGAGATTAACTAGCGATGAGAGTGAACGACAGGGTCGGCTAGGGTCAACACAACGTGCAAAACATACTGCTGCACATAGCGTACAAGTTGAAGGAGAAAATGTGAAGCAGCCAAACACAAACAAAGAGACTGTTGAACTTAAAACTAAAACAGACACAGTACAGCAGTTTACAGAGAATATAGATGTACTCACGAAGTTAGTTGACTCACTAGCAGAGACAATACAGAAAGGACAAGCTTGTCGCTGTTCATCTGACAAACCTCATGTAACCAGGAACAGAGAAACCCTATGGATGTCCAAGATGCGTGAAAGAAGGCTTACAGGATTGTAAGCACTGTTTTGCATGCGGTGAACAAGGTCACAGAGTGTTAGGTTGCCTAAAACACCCAAAGCATCAGGGAAACGCGAACCGGTTGCTGCGGGGGGACAAGCAGTAACCGAAGCCCTTTCCAAGTCTCATCAAGAAAATGCTCCAGCTGTGTTAGACATCCACCTTAAAGACGAAAACAATACAGTCTCTGAAACACCTGATGGCAACAAACGTTGCAAATGCAAGAAAACTTGCTGAACCACTTTATGATGTTTCACCATCCCACCAGGGGCTTGTCGCTAAACTAATTGGCAAGAAAGACAACTTACTGACAAAGACATTAAAGTTCAGAGTGTCACTAGCCTACTGTATTAGTTGGCAAGGCAGTGGTTGTGACAAACCACCACAGAGATTTGATGAATAATTGTATAATTGTGTAATATAATTATATAATTGTATAATGGTCAGTCTTCTCGTCCATGGTCCTGTTTGGTTTTACAGGTTATAGAGAGGCACCAGCTTTAAATAAAGACTTTATTTATGGGTTTCAAACTCCTCATGGTTTAGGTCTAACATCAAATGTATGTAACTATTTACATGATACTCAGTCATTTCTGCATTTTAACCGTCTGATCAAGCATTCAAAGGTTAAGTCATGTTAAGTGATGTAAAGGTAGTCGAACAAATCTGGTCTGGGAGTCTTGGCTGATGTGCTGTAAACAACATCAACATGAGTCCACCTCTGCTGCCTCTCTCAGACTAGACTGCACTGCAGACTGATATTATTGTCAATGGGAAATCATTTAATACTGAAACATAAACAATCAAATTAATACAATTTAAAAAATGACATTAATAATAGTAATGCAAAATAATCAGTCCATCTACTCCACAATCATCTTCAAATGTCTCTTCTGCTAAATCCAGATAAAAACATAAAAACATGTTCAAATGCATCAGAATGTAAATGACAGCTACTCTGTCTTTTAAGGGGGAGGACCCCCAGACCCCCCTTAGATTGTTCCACACATATTTTCATGCTGCTGACGCCCATGGGCTGTAGGAATGTGCTTTTGGCTAAATGATGCTAGCACAACAACATTCTCCAAAATGACAATGCTAACATGCTTATGTTAAAGGTGAAATGTGCACTTGTGTCCTTTGGGTTGGATTCAGTCCCATTTTTTAAACTATGTTTAAAATGTTGAACATATTCATTCATTATTGTTAGCATGCTAACTATTACTGATAAATAAATAGCGAGCTAAAGCTGAGGGGAGAATAAATGCTTGCCCCACATGTTCTTACAACACACTCCCTTTTTGTCAGTCTATTGTTAAGTATACTTCGGCAAAGAAGCAGCTGGATAACAGCCAGAAGTAACCGCAGCCAAGTGTATTAGTTGGCAAGGCAGTGGTTGTGACAGATAGTTTTTATTTCCCAGTGGAAACAAGGGAGAATCGTCTGTTGCGCAACCACAAAAGAAATGAATCGTACTCATTGACACATGTGATGTAATGTTGAGCTAATTATAACTGGCTTTCTTTAAAGGAACAAGGATAAGCTATAATTCTTGTGATATAATAGTGCAGGTTTTGGCTGCTTTACCTGCTGTCTCATCAACTGTGGATTTAACCTTTTAAAGCTCGCAACTGACACACTTTCCTTTAGTGACTCTTCTCACAAATGTAAGTGGGCATAAACCGCAGTTACATCGTTTGAACATTTCTGAACATGGACCACGACAGAGATATTAAAAATAATTTACTAGCAAGGACCACGCCACAACAGAATTAGTTTAACATTTAATGTGGATTGTAAGATATATTGACAGGTGTATGTGTATGAGAGGGGTGTAGGTGTGAGATGGCCGTCTTCTTTCAGGCTGGTCTGGGAGGTTGATCGGGCGAGAGACTCATAGTGGGGGTTCCGTCTCAGGTGTGAATCCACCCGAACTTATTACAGCCCCAGACTGTACCTGAAATGAGAGAGACGAGGGGACGACGTGTGCCGAGTTGGATGGGAAGAAATAAGGAAGGAGGGAAGGGATGAGGAAGGAGGGAAGGGATGAGGAAGGACGGTGAATGGATGAGAAGGAGGGAAGGGAGGGTGGGTAGAAGGATCTGAGACAAACGGGTTGTGGTGAGGGGACCAGGTGTTAAGTAGGCTGTCAGGTAATTGGAGGTGTGGTTTTTGGCGTGGTCCTGCTCCCGAACCTAAGTTAATACATTAACTCCATTTGTATTTAAATGGTCAGTCTTCTCGTCCATGGTCCTGTTTTGTTTTACAGGTTATAGAGAGGCACCAGCCTTAAATAAAGACATTTAGGTCTATAACATCAATGTAACTATTTACATGATACTTAGTCATTTCTGCATTTTAACTGTCTGATCAAGCATTCAAAGGTTAAGTCATGTTAAGTGATGTAAAGGTAGTCAAACAAGTCTTGTCTGGGATGTCTTGGCTGATGTGCTGTAAACAACATCAACATGACTCCACCTCTGCTGCCTCTTTGCAAAGCATCAGTCTTACTGTTATTGGAAACTCCACATTCCCGGGGAGACAGATTGTAGAGGGGGAGACAGGTTATAATTTAATGTTACCAAACTGTAACACACATAGGCTACCTGTTTTTTTCGTGTGGCCACAAATGAAGCCCAAGGCATTACACATGGCTTTTTCACACAAGAAGTCGCACGTCAGGTGTAGCTATTTTTAAAATGTAAGCGAACCTGAAGTGCAGGTAGGTACAGTATGTTTTTTCAGTTGTTTTTTAAAATGTATTTAAATTCAATCAGGAGAGACAAGTAAACAAATAAAAGATAAACACTTATTTGACATATATGATATTGAATGATTGTCAGAGAATCATTTTGCGCTTGAACAATATGTGAGTCTATGTATGTGACACACATACATAGACCCCCCCCCCCCCCATGGAGTCCAGACACTAGGGGTGGAGGCGTCAGCTGACGATGTCGTCTGGCTGTATGCGATTAGGAAGCTGACTGAAATGTAAAGACTTGGGTTGATGAGGAGATGGTTGATGATGGTCGTCTGAGGCTGAAGGGATGAAGAGGCTAACCAAACTGAAGACTGGGGTTGATGGGACGATGGCTGATACCATGATCATGATTAAGACTGTATGACATGTTTAAAGACATCAAGTCACACTGCCTCAAGTTGTTTCCTATTGGAAGTGTTCAGCAGCATCAAGACTTTTCTTTTGAGCACACTCAGTCTTTATGAAGATTTTATTTTATTTTTGACAAATTATAAATGCTCAGATGTGAGTAAAAAGCTCCATAATTGATGGGAGATGTATGAAAACATGGCAGCATCATGTGGTCTATTCACAACACAAGAAAGACAAGTGTTTGGTGTTTTGATATGATTTTTTAAAATCCACAGTTCATCCTTTACAGTCACACCATCAAACAAATCCAGGCTCAAACAAACATACTTCTCGTCACTTACAATAGAACTCTTGACAGAATTGAGATAGATGGCACCGTCACATGGGGGAAGGGAACATGATGAGGGAGTGTTTTAATAGGCAATTTAACAAAAATATTTCATTTCATTAAGATAGATTTTTTTATTTTTTTATTATCATATACTATGAGGATAGAATAAAATTTTGTCTCTGAAAACGGAAGGTCAGACATACGGAGAGTGCTATGTTGAAAGTGTTGCATAGTCGAGGAGACACAAACATAAGGGTGCTGAGGAGCTTAATTTAAAACGACACACGAGGGAGTAAAAAGCTTGTTGTGTAACGCAGAGGGTAAAAATACTCTTTTTTTTTACGTGATTGTTTTGGCTCTTGTAACCCCCCCACACACACACACACACACACACACACACACACACACACACACACACACACACACACACACACACACACACACACACACACACACACACACACACACACACACACACACACACACACACACACACACACACACACACACACACACACACACACACACACACACACACACACACACACACACACACACACACACACACACACACACACACACACTTTTAAAAAGTAGCTTGACCTGCCATCTCGATGCTTGTGTACTAGCACTAGTATTGTATAGTCCATCTTTGTGCAAATGTAACTCAATAGAACATCCACGGCAATCACAAGTGATATAATCTCCCAAGCATGTTTTATGAACACAAGGGAACAGCTCTTTTTGTGTCGCTCGCGTTGCAGCCTTTAAAACTGCCCCTTTGCTGCGATCATTCTGGTTAAAGTAAAATATCCTCATGGCATGAAACGGAGGAACCAGCTAAGCTTTAGAAAAATACTGTCGCTGTAGCTTATGGGCTGATTAAAGCTCCATGCAGTCAAACTTGTCGCCGTCTTTTCTTCCACACAGACTCCTTCTTTAGTGTTTCATGAGAGCAGACTCCTCACAGGAATCCTTGTCAAACAGCAGCCTCTCTTGTTCATTTTACTCACTGCACATCAGCTGAATAATAAAAGCTGGAAAATTGGAGGGAAAAAAAAAACTTGGCTCATAAAATGTCTCAAAAATGCTGTGCAAAGCATATTGTTTTTCAAACCAGATATTAAAACATAGAGACATGGGGTACACTAAGAGAGCCACACCCAGTCTCTGCTGCAGGTTCTAGCTTTACACGCTGCATCCACGGAGCAGGAGCTGAACTCCATTTCTTTCTTCTCTTCGCTCATCCTTTCCATACATTCATTAGTAGTCCTGTATCCCGTCCACAAGTCAACCAGCTGTCCATCCACTTATTGGGAGCATGTAGGAGTTTGTACGTCTCCAATAGCAAAAAAAAAAAAAAAAGTCTCATCCCCTAGTCATTCTCCTCAGTAGCATCTGCAGACCTTGGCTTCACATAAAGTCTCTGTCCATCATTTTCAAAAAAAAGATCCACGATGCTGGCTGATGTCACCGGAACTCATAGATGGCTGCACTGTGCTCAGGGACGTGGGTGAGGTTTAGAGACTGGTACCTGCAGAGAATAAACAAAGTGGGTTTTTTTTTTTAACAATAGGTGTATGTACTAGCAGTGTAATTAGTCAGAAGTGAAGAAAAACAAGAGTATATAGTGCAACCTCTTGATTCAATCATCATATAAACTCTCAAGATATAGGGAAATATTAACAGGAATAGGCATGCACAAGATGTGTGATCTGCTTATGACATTATTGCCCTGTGAAAAGAATGCATTTCTTAAACACACTTTTCACAAAGAAGCCAAACTTTTTTCCACTTTGTGACATTCTTCAGATAGACATGAGGGGTGTTTCAGGTTGTTGTTTTTTATCTTTGAAGACACAGTGCTTCATACTTTTTTGTTAAACTATTTTTTTTTTGTGCATTTTTCTTAAACACTTAGCTCTATCTTTGCACGAGGCAGGTTCCTCCATATTCACACTAGATACAAACTCAGAGTCTGCTAAGTATAGCTTCACCATGGTGTAGTCGTGGCTAACACTGCCGCCTCCCAGCCTGGAGGTTGGGAGTTCTGAAGAATAAACAATTGGGGTTGGAGCGCTCTCTGCTGGACAAACTATGGAATAACACTGTTTCTATCCACAACATCAGGAGCATTGTTTTTGGTCCTGTTGGAAATGATTCTAAATCTGCCCACATTTCAGTTATGCTGCAAGAGTCAGCGTGCTGGGTCTATTACTGAGGTATCAGTATGTGTATATAGGTTTTCCAACATGTGGCAATATTGCAAATTTTTTAGTGATCACATAATTTAGAAAACAATGAATGGGGTGTTTAAGAATTGGGGTCACCTAGTGGTTAGGGCGCGGGCCCCGTGTTCGAATCCTCTCTCTCTCTCTCTCTCTCTCAAGAAGTCAGAACACCAGTTTACACATCAGTAAGTGGGGACTTTTTTCTCTTGTAAATGTGTTAGTGTAAAAGTCTCACAAAGTTCATATCTTTCAGGCTCTGAATCAAACAGCTTTCAGATAAATGACACTGGGATCCGTATAAATGTATGCTGAGTAAGCACAGTGAGCTGTTAGATAAAGAACTGCAGGTGTACATCTCTCAACTTCACAGCAAAGTAACCAACAGTGTCTGTGTCCTGCTGCTGTGTGGAAAGATTCTAAGAAAAAAAAAAAAAGGAAAAGCCCAGCATCCAATCAAATATCTGTCTCACACACCGCATGATAAAGGCAGACATGTTTATTTAAACTGCTGGAGCTCATTCGGCTGCAGAATTACTGTTATACTTAATTTACATGCGCTGTCGCAGAATTCCACAAGTATCTAACAAATCTACCAGGACTGAAATCTAAAGGACTAAACTTAACTTAATGAAACCCAAACTGGGATCCTTAAGCCTTTAATTTATTGAAAAAACCTCTTAGAGAAAAGAGGAGATACACAGGGCTTCGACATAAATACAACGATTAATGCTTTGGACCACTGCAACAAACTGCTCTTGGCGACATCATTTTCCTGTAATTCTACTAGAGAGTTTACATTCAGTCATGTTACTATGAATCATGTTTGGGAGATATTTAAAAGTCTGAATCTGTAATAAAGCAATGTGAAGACAACGCCAGGCATCCGTCTGTTGTTTGGAAATGAACCCATCTGATTAGCTTGACTAACATGACGAATAAAGACAAGTTTGTTCAACTCAACCTCAAAATGTAAACGTTTTCTACAATGAAAAATGGAACTTGGGGGCGCAGATGGCCTGGCGTTTAGATCAAGCCCCATGTACGGAGGCTATAGTCCTCAAAGCGGGCGGCCCAGGTTCGAGTCCGGCCTGTGGCTCCTTATCCACTCTCTCTCTCTCTCTCTCCCTTGTTTCCTACCCTGTCCAATAAAGGCAAAAAAGCTAAAATGATTTTGATATCTGAACATCGATCACTACTTCTGCTTGATGGAAAAAGAAATGGAGGGCAAACCTTATGCTCATGTTCTGCTTTCTCTTCATGTGTTGTTATACAAGCTACTTAGAAGGAAATAACAGCAAGAGTTAAAGTAAACACGGCTCCTGTCTTCACAGTAATGATAAAAGCCTGCATCATTTTGAGTATGACAAAAGTGCATCAATCATTTTAAACGTCCCTAAAAAGCATAAAGTTATCGTGTTTATTTACGGTAATCTGAGAGGGAAAAATTAAAACTTCCAACAAGTATTTAGTCAGAGCAGAAATGAAATCAAAAGTAATTGGTATCAATTACTTAACCATTATGTGCCAAGGGATTTAAAATACAGGCCAAAAGATGTCAAATGAACTTTTCTTCTTGAGAAAGCTAAGGATTTTTTAATGTTGACAAATCTCTTCCAAAAATTATTTATTCATCTTTTATTGAGTCCATTTTGACTTTTGTGATGATCTGCTGGTTTGGTGACCTCAGCATCGTTAACAAAAACAGGCTGGGAAATATTGTTAAACTTGTTGGCGTTGACTTGAATGATCTCGGCCATGTTTTTCAAGTAAGAGCCACTCGAAAGGCAAAGGCCATCTTGGAAGACCCTCAGCACTCCCTGCATGCAGAGTTCAGACTTCTGGTGACAGGGCGGAGGTTCACTTATGTTAGGAGGTCAAAATCAAACAAATACCTGAGGTCGTTTGTTCCATCAGCTGTTGGGTTTTTAAATAAGCTGTAGGCATTGTTGTCTTTACACTTACACTATGCACTGTTGTTCTTTTGTCCCTCACCTCACTCACATCCATCATGGTGATATCCATGGTAGTTTTATATGTATGTATTCATGTCATTGTGCTGTTTTTATGTATTGACTGTATGGGCCTCTGTTGCAAACCAAATTGCCCCTCAGGGACAATAAAGATTTTCCAAATCCAAATGAAACAGAAACACTTGAGATGGAGTACAGGCAGGCCTATGTATGCTTATAACCAGACACTCAGAAGGCAAAGGCCATGCTGAAAGACCCTCTCCACCCTCTTTATGCAGAGTTTAGACTTCTGCCGACACGGAGGAGGACCGAATCAAACAGATCTCTGAGGTCGTTGGTCCCATCAGCAGGTCGTTTGTATCATCAGCAGCTGTGTGCATTGTTGTCATTACACTTACACTATGAACTGTTGGTCTTTGTGTCTCTTATCTCACTCACGTCACTCATGACGATATCTATGGTCATGTTTTATGTTTTTGTGCAGTTTTTTTTAGGACCTGGTCTTTGTGGAACCTCTGTTGCAAACCAAATTGCCCCTCGGGGACAATCAAGATTTTCCAATCCAACCCCACAACAATATCAATCAAAAGTAACAAACTGTTGGGTTCATGTTCTGATCATCCAAATAAGGATGTGCACAGTCTAACCATTAATAATCCAGAAAAAGATCATACACATCAGCTCATCATCTAAGCATCTCTAATGAATAAATTGCCGCTTTTCAGAAAAGCACTATATAAAACCAATGTATTATTATTATTAATAATAAGAATTAAAAGCACCTTCAGCTGAAGATTTGGTATGCAATAGACGTTTTCCTTCTAGATTCAGTCTAGATAAATCTGCTGGTTCTTAAACTGACTTAACTTGAGCTTCCAGTAACTTAGTTTGGTGCTACGTTACCATTCAGAGCTCCTGTGGTAGTAGTAGCCCTCGATGGTTGCTGTGGATTTCTGGAAGCAGATGTAGTAGAATCCAGCAAAGGAAGCTCCGCTGATGTCTTTGATTGTGTGGTCAGGGACCAGAAACTGCTCCTGAGAGGAACAGAGAGTGTGAGACACAGCATACCCTGAAGTTCATACATGACAAAAACAAAAAATGCTAAAGCTCAATTTGAGGGAAGCACCTTACCTTCCACCTCATGAATATATAGTCAGAGTTCTTCAAATGCTCGTAGTCAAAATCATCCGAGTTGAATGACTTGGCATACTGGTAGAAGGCCTGGAACTTGCCCTTGACATTAAAAGTAAAAGGATTATGTCAAAGTAAAGCAGCCTGCAGTGGGAGCCCTCTGAGTGAGAGCACGACTGAACAAGCTTTCAACCTACCCAGTGTTTACGATCAACATCCTCATCTGCATCCCATTTTCGGGTGAGAAATGGCCGCTTTCTGCTGATGATCTCTCCAGCAAAGAACGTGGTGAGTGTTGGGTATTCCTATGATAGTGAACGCATTAGAGAAACAGTGACATTTTTCTGTGCCCTTTTGCATTCTGTCCGTCATTAATAAAAGGTATGGCCTGTCTGGTCAGAGCTTACATTCCCGACAATCTAGAAGGAAAAAGTGACTTCTGAGGTGCAAAATTATTCATATTATATCGCTGTTGTCTTACTGTGTTATAACGCTGCAAGTTATGATATACAGTAGAAATAAAACAAAAAAATCAATCTCTTTTACCAAGTACATTTTGGTTTCACTTTGACAGCTACTCCAATGTGTTTAGCAGCAAATCTTACTAACTGTTACTCAGCCATACTGTCAAATATATGCTACATTTACCACTACATGACTCTGATTCAGAAAAAGTTTCTGGCATGAATGCAGACAGAAAATGCACCTTAATACCCTGAAATCCTAAACATTCATAACGCCTGGAGCTAGATTATTTAACAGTCTTCACACAGACACAAGCACAATTATAAGAAGCCTGTCCTATCTTCAATTATGTTTGTTTGTGTACCAAAGAAATCACTTCCCTCACCTCAGTCAGTCCCTTTATCTTCAGGTAGCCACACAGGTAGGAGTCCTCCATGGTGACATGCTAAAATAAGGATAAGGATAAGGATAATACTTTATTGATCCCCAGAGGGGAAATTTAGGCGTTGCAGCAGCACAGACAAGTAAGCTCAAAATACACATTAAACAGAATAGATAAGATAAATAAAAATAAAAATAGGGGGTATATACAAGTACAAAATGAATGATGGCGTTAACTATGCAGGGAATTGAGACAGTATTTACAGAGAATGACAAGTTCAAGTGAGAAGTGATGATTAAAGTGATTTGGTATGATAAATAACAGCAAGTAATGTAAAAACAGCAGAGAAGAGAGGCAGTGTTGTACCACAGTAATGCAGAGTGCAGTTGTATAATATAATGTAGTATAATATAATATAATATAGTGCAATATGATCAATACCGTGTAATATAATGAAATGGTATATAATATAGACTAATATAATAGAAAATATAGAACATACTGAAAAGAAAAGAGACATTTGTCATGCTACAAGTATTACAATAGCTTCTTCTAAAAGTGAAGTGAATCATAATGCTGCAAGAGTAATCCAATTTTTTATAGTATTTTATACCCTGTTATTCAAAACTGCGATAAACTTGCCGGTTTACATAAACCTTAATAAATAGTTTAAGCTCTTACAATAAGCATTTTTGCCAACAACAAATACAATGTCGCTTCATTTTGAAATTGGTTACTATTAAACAGTCGAAAACACCGCTACATCCACAGCTAGTAGCAAGGCAAGTCACTAAACCACAGGCCAGCGCTCATTGATTGTCCAGCTGTCAATCATCGCACCGCCTGTATGACAGCTCACCAAATGCCCCTGACAGCTGGCCTTAAGAATTACATTTTAGTGTCACAGTCCCACCTGCAAAACAACCTCCACGTCGTATGAGTTCCCTTTGCTCTTCTGGTGGCCCCTGAACTTGGAGCCGCTGTACAGAAGCGACGTGACAACTCCCGGCTGTTGGGTGTTTATCGGCGGCGGTGGGATAAGCGAGGCCGAGGATGAAAAGGCCGCGGTGGGGGTGTCGCTGAGGTATCCAGCGGGGACAGGCATGGCTCCCGCTACGCTGGAAAGCACCGTCCACGGGCGATGGCCGTCCGAGCGACGGACTCTGTCAGCGTTTACGGAGAGGTTGAGCAACACCGAAGACGTCCACCAACATTCAAATCCCCCCCGATTCTTCCACAGTTTAGTTTACCGGGGCGGGCAGCAGCAAGCTCCCAGAAAAGTAAGTGGACTTCGACGCGGCACTGTAGCCAGCAGAATCCCTCTTTCTCATTGGCCAGCTGAATTCACCTCGCTAACATCCTCGTCGTTCATTGGTCCAACCTGCGGAAGGCTTTGCAGGAATGTTTGGGTGTAGTTTTTTCCTGTTGTGTAATAGTGAGAAGAGGCACTTGTAAAAACTACATTTCCCATTTGCTAAAAGAATTAGCGGCGCTGTCAAACGTAGAAGGTCACACGCGTGCTTTTGAACACAGAGAATGCTATGTGAAGCTGAGGGAGACATGCATGGCAGTAAATAGAGTAAAAGCTAACTTAAGAAACAAGCGAGTACAGTAGAAAGGAGAGCTGTTAAGAAAACCTTAACTCGTAAAAAATGCTTCTTTAATTTAACTAACGCACAGTGGTCACACACAGGTCGCCTAGCAGAAAAGACAACTAGCTTATCAGTTAGCTTTCTTCCAAACATTACATTTTCACCTCACAGCCGCTATGTTTAGGAACCTTTTTAGACTTCAGACTCAGCTTGGAAGTTGCCTGTCGCTCAGTAAAATATGCCCAAGAAGTCAGCACGTTTTAAAATACTCCACAGCCACGACAGGTAAGATAACATGGATGTAACATCTGCCCTAACAGTTCATTCGTGTTGCTAATTATCCTTGTTGAGCGAGTGACGACTCATGCAATTGTTTCTGCTGTTTCCAGAAAGAAAAAGATTCTATCAAGATGTCAGTATATCCCAAGGTGAAGGTAAGATGTCACAAATATGACAGAGCTGTGATTGAGGACAATAATGCAATTGGAGGAAGAAAGTAGGCTACTCTCCTTGTGTTCACTCAGTAATAAGAGCTCACTTAACTTTGTTATTATAGAGATAATGACTGGAATAATAGTTCCTTTCTATATGTGTGTCATTCTTCTTCTCAATGAATGTCCTAAAATGTCATGCAGGTGGTTTATTTGAGATAAACCTAGACCGAAGGAAACTGAAAACTCCTGGAGGGAAGCTGTTCACAGTGCCAAATGAAGCCTTGGCCATCGCCGTAGCAACTGAGTGGGATGCTCAAAGGGACACACTCAAGTTCTACACCATGCACTTGGTATGGCTTTTGAATGGGATCTGGAGTGTGAAAGTTTAATTTTCTATATTAACTCTATTTCTCTAAAGTTCAAATGATACACCAGAAAAAAAAGTAGAAATAGAAATTGTGTTATCACTCTTCCTGCAGACAACACTGTGCAACACCGCTCTAGACAATCCCACCCAACGTGATAAAACCCAAATGATCAATGCTTCCCTGAAGTTCCTGGAAACTGACACTGTCTGGTAAACTATTTATTTATTATAACAATTTATTAAAGCATACCATATTCATTGTATCGCATATATCACCCGAGTTAATTTCTTGGTCTGCCCACTGTAAAAGAGATCACAATGTTAATTTAAACATTTTTTCATGACTATGTTTACAATTGCAGCAAAAGACGTAGTTCAATATAGATTGACAACGAGAATATTAATGTCCATAATGTGATGCAACTGACTGATAATAAGTCACTTTATACTGGCTGCATTTAGACAAACTTGTTGACTGTAAATGTTGTTGGTTATGTACAGAGATATTGTGATGATTTTTATTTTTTATTACTCATTTGTAGATGTCAATGGTGTTTTATGGTTTGTGTAGTTACAGAGTAGATGAGCCCCATGGATTGGTTGAGCTACAGAAGAATGAGTGGGACCCTGTGCTTCACTGGATTGAAAACAGGTAACAGCTGTGTTAGGTTTTGGAAAAAGTCCAGAAAGTCATTAAAGCCCCCAAAATGCCTTTTAGAGCCTTTGTTATTTAGTCTACTGTTATTTAAAATGTTAACTTCATTAGTCTTTCCATATTACCTTTTTTTTCCACAATATAATTGCAGATATAATGTCACCATTGGCTCATCATCCAATATATTGGGTCCTGAAATCCCAGAGGCAACCAAAGACACATTCCGGCAACACCTGAACTCATACAACTTCTGGTCCCTGACAGGTTGGTTATCTCTGAACCGATCCTACAGCAGCACTTCAGACATTGTGCACTTCTTCTTTGATACTGAAATCCATTTAGAAATAATAAACATGCAACAATAGTGCTGAATCTTGCCATGCTTAAATATTGATCTGGAATACAGTATTGCAATAAGGTGTAAATGTATTAGTACAGAATTTAACAGTGAAACGTTTTCTTTTTTTGTCCTCTGCAGGGCTTGAGTATGTGATCACTCAGTTGAAGTCTGTTGTTCTGTCGATGGGGATTATTGACAGACATCTGAGCGTGGAACAGGCTGTGCTGCTCTCCAGGCTGGAGGAGGAGTACCAGGTAGGAGACTAGCGATGGTGTTCCCAACAGCTCTTTTGTTATAATTAAGCATATTTTTAATATTTCTGGCGTCTACCTTGTGACAATCAAAGGAAGAGCTAGTATATCCTATCAATAACTTTTAAGAAATATTGGCAGTACTTTCTCTTTCTGTTTTCACAAGGAGTTCTGCAATTATACAATTTTTGCTCAAAGTGACAATTTTTCTGTCTCTGTTTCATAGGTTGTCATTAGTTGTAACAGCTGAGAAACACAACGGTTAACTTGCTGGTCTTCCTGCAGACAGCCATATTTACATGTTTTTCTTTCCTCCTACACAGATTCAGCACTGGGGAAACGTGGAGTGGGCCCACGACTACGACATGTATGAACTGAGGGCGCGAGCTGCTGCTGGAACTCTTTTTGTTCATCTCTCATCTGAGAGCACCACTGTCAAATGCAAACTTATGCAGGACTGAGAAAAAACAAGCTCCAACGTTCTTTTTGAGAGCACCAAGGAAATCTGCCCTCAAACTTCCCAAACCTCTCAGTTTATCCATGTTTCTGCATCCTCGCTGACAAACATAACACATAGTCATATGTCTTCAGTTAGCAGTGGCAGCTGCTGCTTCTGTGATCTGTTATACAGTGACGTTATCTCATTACATAAAAACACATTAGCACGCTGGTTGTGTTGTTGTAGTGTTTATATGTGTTGGCTGCCAAGTATGATGCCCTTCACCGAGTTTCCAGTCAGTTCTCAGTCAGCCGTGACATTTTGGACTCTGCTCATGGTTTGAAGAGAATGGTGACTAATGTTGTCTGTGTGGTTGAGGAATGTTAATTCAATGCCAGCTTTCTCTGTATGCTACATTTGAACTCCCAAATGCAAACACAATCCTCTTACAGTGCACTATCCGTACTAACTGTGCTATGTAGTGTTTGGTAACAGTAAACTGCATGCAAAAACATGAACCTGCTATACATGCCACTGATTATATACAGTCATTTAGATGGTCCTTCTATATGATGTATGCACATTTATATTTACATTATGCTAATAAGGGGGAGATTGAGTGCTGTACTCAGAAAGACTATTCATTTGTATGATAAACATTCAGTTATGTTTTTATAAAATATAAACTAAGTATGAAAGTGACTTTAATCCTCTTCTGTTTGTCATTTTTTGTACAAAGCTGAAGGTTTTGTTTTATAACAGTTGACATGATTAAAAGTTATTACAATAATTTAGTTATCTGTATCGACTTTGTCTATTTTCCAACTTTAAAAAATACCTCAGCAAAGGTCATTATGATTTACTCACAATCTGCATCATTTCATATCACCATGGGTGCCACAGTCATAAAAAGCCATTTGAACTTCGATTGATGCGACCTTTAATGCATATTATTTACAACCGCCCGACTGTCTTGATGAGCGTCCCAGCTGTCCAATCAGGCTTCAGGTCAGACCTGGAGAGCCAGTGACGTTGCTCTGTGGGCGGGACTTAGAGAACGTTTCCTCATGTATCATCATCGTCCCATGGACTGACTTGTTTGTTGTCGAGCAAGATGGAGTTCCTTTTGGGAAACCCTTTCAGTACCCCAGTGGGGCATTGCATTGGTGAGTAACCATATGTTTCTGATGCTACACTGCGTGAAGACAGATGTATTATTGTCCAGGAAATTTATTTAGTTTGTGCGATGTCCGTTCACGGGCTCGCTGCCGTTAGCATGCTAACGTTACAGCTGGAAACCGTTAGCCGCCTAGCTAACCTGTAGTAATGTTTATATCTGCTGCCAGTGTGACAAACATACCCCGAACTAATTAAAGATGTGTTTTTGTCATAGGTCAGCGCTTAACTCATTAATGAATTCAATTATATAAACCTTAAATGACGACTGAAAGCTTAGTCAGCTAACAGTCAGCAAGCCACCTTTCATCGTCATTTAATGAGTTGATCTTCTGTTAGTTACTGGGGCGCCTTCATGGGTCATTTCCCCCTAACACATCATATATGTTATCCAGAGAGAGCGACGGATGGCTCCCTGCAAAGTGAAGACTGGACCCTGAACATGGAAATATGTGACATCATCAATGAAACAGAGGATGGGTGAGTAACTGGAGAGTAACTTATTGATCTTTGCTCTAATGTGCACCTGTCTTCCTTGTGCCGGTGCTGTTTACATAATGAGATACACCATCAAAGCCAGTCCGTTTCCTGTTGCATCTGTGTCAGACTAAAAGAAGTAACCCGGCTCTGGCTGTGCAAAGTGGATTTATGCAAGGCCTCGTTGCTTATCTCATCCCTCCATTAACCTTGTACTGTATGTTTAAGCTGGTGTGTGTGAAGTCCAGGTCTTGTTTGATTAGCAGGTTGTAAACTGGCTTAGGTGGGTCTAGACCTGTACTCTGTGCTTTATAACAGTAGTATAAAAGTCTGACTCTACTTTTCTCTTCTACAAGCGGTGGCATACACCCACTGCTGTGTAGCTGCTTTGACCTGTGAGTAGCTTGCAGAGAGAAGAAGTGAATTATTGCCACCTTATGTCAAAACAATCACATATGGGGGGATTGCAAAGAAGAATCATTGACATACACCTGCACCTTATATTAAGCTTCCCAGTCTTTGCACTTGACTGGATCATCGCCTTCCCTCAGCTTTAAAGTCTCTCTTGATAATTGTTTTTTCCCCCTAGGAAAACCAGTCTCTTTAAAAGCTGCAGGCACTGAACTATCCATAATGTGTGCTTCTGCTTGTGTGTTTATTTGTCCGTGTGCAGGCCAAAGGATGCCATTAGAGCAGTGAAGAAGAGGCTGAATGGAAACAGGAACTATAAAGAAGTGATGTTGGCTTTAACGGTGAGTTCAGTGTGGACAGACGAAGGTCATCACCGTTGTGTTTACAGTATATACAGCAAGAGTCTAGCCCTGTAATTTCCCTCGAGCAGTGTAAAAGTATGTCAGGCAAATAACTTGGGGCCCATATTATTTACATTCACACAAAATTTGCATCCAAAATATTATTTCCAAAGTTTATTTTCTGCACCCATCAGGTTCTGGAGACGTGTGTGAAGAACTGCGGCCATCGTTTTCATGCTTTGGTCACTAGCAGGGATTTTGTGGATGGCGTACTTGTAAAAATCATCTCACCTAAAAACAACCCGCCTACAATCGTTCAAGATAAAGTCCTCGCCCTGATACAGGTAAGATAACAGATAAATAACCTAATGTCATAGATAAAACTTGTGTCTCTAACTGAGTTGGTGAGAGTTTGAATGGGGTTTAGCCGTTTATTACAGTATGTGTGGTTGCGCAGCGGGCCTCCTGTCCATCACAGGCAGAGCCTCAGGTAGAGTACAGTGTCTCCGGGGCTGCAGCTCTAGTTACCTGTCACAGCTCAGGTAACCCTGCTGGGCTCTTATTTCCTCCAGGGAAACCATGTGACCACATCTAACAGCATGGACCCAGGAGGAGAGGAGTGTAGGGGAGGGAAGGGGGGGATACTGTACAACAACCGTGAAATTGTTCCTTGTTTTGTCTCGACATTAGAAAGGCAGGTTTTTTTTGAAGAGGAGGGTGAGATTGGAAAACTTTGGGAAAATGAATTGACGAGCACTCCCTTCATACAACAGAAAGAGTATTGTTGACATATCTTTTTGCACAGTGTGTAATACAGTGTTGGCCAACATGACTGCGGTTGTGTTATGCTGCTCCCTTATAACCTTTCTTCTCCCTTAGGTGCCGGTGTGTGTACTCTGCAGTTGTTAGAAAAAGTGCTCGTTTACACAGTAAATAGTGCTAGCCAAACTCTTGCCAGTTAGAGTTGACTTTTATTGCTTTTATGTAGTTTTTCATCCAAAGCTGGAAACAAGTATGCAATTTAAACGTGAGCTCATCTAAGCTTGCAGATGAAGTGACTCAGTGTAACACTTTTTGGATAAAGACCTCCTTCAAAGTCCTTGTGCTATTTTTCTTTAAAGTGTGTCATGTGTTTAAGCTCTCGTAATGGCCCAATTTAGCTTCATCCGGTCCAATCATGAGAGAGAGAAGCAAACAGCTTTGTGTGGTTTTCTGACTGAACGTATTCAAGCCAGACAAACAGAAATGATCAGAGAACAGGCCTCTTTTAGTAGTCTGACATCCCCCGGCTTTGTTTGCCGTGTTTGTCTCTCCCTTTAACCGCTGCATTTTCCTTTTTGTTGCTTCCTTCTCCAGGCATGGGCTGATGCATTCAGGAGCAGTCCGGACCTCACAGGCGTTGTCCAAATCTATGAAGAGCTGAAGAGGAAAGGCATCGAGTTCCCCATGTCAGACCTGGAGACCCTGTCACCTATACACACACCTCAAGGGGTAGGAAGCAACTCATTAAGCAGCTTAAATGTGGACAAAGGTTTCTGTGTAAAGACCAAACTTATTGTGAGATCATTTCTCATAACTCCTCTTATTTCTCTGTCATATCTAGGTGGCAACTGCTCCAGAGGGCGACACCACCCTTCATAAATACAGCACCGCTACACAGCCCGCACCACAAGTTGTCCCACCAGCCTACACAGCCCCTCAGGTCCCCAACATCCTGGCATCTGGAGCCATAAATCCTACACCTGAACAGGTACAATGTTCTTATCACAAGCACACTAAATCCAAACAGTCCTTTCAGATATGTAAGCGTACTGTAGCAGCCTGCCGGTCCGTCACAGCAGGACAGACTCCTACGTTTTTGTGATTTTTCTTTGGCTCCACACAGGTCACAATGATGGGTCACAAGCAAAACAAATAAAATGATGTACTACTGCTTAGTTTAAATGTCTTAAGTAAATAGTTGCCAATCCCACTCTTATTTTGTCGCATGATCCATTGAAAGCCCTTACAGATGATTTAAAGCACCTATGTATCCACTACAGTTATCATTCTTACCAGCTGGATTTTACTAAACATGAATTATTATGTCGACATTTTTGCCACAATCGAACAACCCTATGTGTAATTTGTGTTTTCTTTTTTTTCTTTTTTGTTATGTTAAGTTAAGAACTCCTCACTGGAGCTTTAAGTTCTTTTCCAAAAGTGTGCTCAAAACTTTAGAAAGTCTTTGAATGTTTTTTTTTTTTCCGTACCTTGAGCTAACTAGCGCTTACACTTTGTATGTTACTTTTACATAGAAGTTTCAACTGTTAATTCATAACCTTGAGCTCACCTCGCTACCTTTTTATTAGTTACTTAAGATAACTGTTTGAAGTTTATCTGTTTCATCATAGTGTATTTTTTTTCTCAATTTATTTGTTACTTTTAGAGAAATATCTCATCCTTGTTTTTCATACTTGTTGCTAACTACTAACTACATACTTGTTGCTAACTACGTCAGCTGCACTTGCCTAACAGATTTCTTTATGTTATGTTTCCTTTTATAAATGACTGAGTTTAACAGGTAGCTTAAGTGTTTTTGTAATGAGTGTTAGCCTCATTCAGCTTTGAAACATTTTGTGTTTTATATTCCTCCTGTAACACTGTAAGAATTAAGAAACTATGTACACAAAAAGTTTTCTGTTCACTCTGACATCCAGATCTGCCGGCTGCGCAGCGAGCTGGACATTGTTCGCGGAAACACAAAGGTGATGTCAGAGATGTTGACTGAGATGGTGCCAGGACAAGAAGATGCTTCAGACTATGAACTACTACAGGCAAGAAACCAGTGTGTGTGTGTGTGCGTGTGTTTGTATGTGTGTTTCTGCCTCTATGTCTTTGTGTGTATGTGTGTTTCTGCCTCTATGTCTTTGTGTGTATGTGTGTTTCTGTCTTTGTGTGTACTTTCTGAAATCAGTGTTAATAGACTTGGACTAGTGCACTGATGCTCAGAATATATGGACTCAGAATATAGAGAGGAAGACTTCGACTTACTTAATGGTGAACACTGTTTTTATCTTTTTTAAATAAGGCCCTAACAATGTTTTAAGAAAATGCTGACACACGTGTTCACCTGCATGCTTGTTCACTTGCTGTCTTGTTCAGCCACTGTTTGAGTTGTGATGCACGGATTGCAGTCATATGACTTTGGACTGGGCAAGCTGCGTCATAAGATTTGACATTCTGATTAATAACAGGAGGGTTGCAATTATTTTTGAGTTCATTAGACACCTTCAGCGATCTCACCGCAGCAGAGATGATCAGTGTGTCTACCTGAGAGTGGCCCGGTGCACATTTATGCACAATGCACAGTGCTGAAACTGAGAAGTCTGATGACCCGCAACAGAACCCCTAAGAATCTTATATCAGCAGATGTAAAAACTTTTCTACACATCCAAAAGCTCCCACTCAGACAGTCGTGGTTCATACAGTGAAATAGTTTGGAGTGACACAGCCATCCTCCTTACAATCCTTCATCAGAGCTGTTTTCAACCTTTTATTGTAGATGCTTAAAGTTTATCAGTCCTCTCTGATGGATTCCCTCTGTCCTGTCGCATTACAACAGTTTACAACAGTTTTTGGTCTGGCTGCTCTAATGTCTCTTATTTGCTGCCGTGACATCACTGTGACATCACTGCACACATGGGAAACTCTACAGCTGCTTTAAACAGCTTCTCTGATTATTTAAAGTAAAGAGTTGAAGAATACATCAATAAACACAACACAAAAAAACATCACCTGAAAGCTTTCACTGTTCAAGAAAATTTATAATAATTTAAAGATACATTTGAATCTCTGTTTGAACAGTTTCACAGCCTGTAAGACAAACATGAAGACTCACGGATAAATGAGAGTAAAAGCTCAAATTAGAAGCATCAAATAGATATATTTATGTGCTAAAGTGAAAATCTCAAGCCCATCTTGGAACTTGGCTCATAATCTAACCTTGAGGACTCAGTCTTGGACTCGGGTGATGGAGACTCAACTCGTACTCGTCTCTGATTATTTATTTTTACTCTGACTCAACTCTGACATGAGCACTAGGGACTCATGACCCAACTGGAGGTTTGGTGACTCGACTGCAACGCTGGCTGACTATTGTGTGGCTGAACAAATCTAAAAGTCAAATATTTTAACTTAAGAATGAAGCAGCAGGAGTATACAGCTATCTCAGACCAATATGCATCTGTGTGTTCTTGCGTTTATACACTTTGTGCCCGTGCTTGTTCTAGGAGCTGAACAGGACCTGCAGAGCCATGCAGCAGAGGATAATGGAGCTCATCTCTTGTGTTTCCAACGAGGCAGTGACTGAGGAGCTGCTGCACGTCAACGATGACCTCAATAACATCTTCCTACGCTACGAAAGGTTAGAACAAACGAAAAAAAACCACATACAAACAACACCTTGGTATGTTTGCACATATTTGGTTAAGTCAAGTTAAGAAGTCCTTCTAATTTCTTTCATGTTGTTCTTTTTTTTTTGCCTCAGGTATGAGAGGTTCAGGTCCGGGAGGTCTGCAGCTCAGAGTGTCAACAATGGGGTGAGTCAATCAGTCTCTCAGGTGGGGAAACAGCTTGTTTTTGCATCACCTGTTTGTTTTTTAGTGACTGATGTTTCTGTGTCAGTAGTGTGGACTGCATGTTGTATTACAAGTCATATCAGGCATTAATGCTGTTATCCATCAATTACCCAGGCAGTTCCCGTAACTGAGTTATAAAGAGCGAGTCATGCAGTGTCACTGGATCAGACTAGCATGAGTTAGCAGGTTTTTAAGTTTGTCTCCACAGAGTTTAGGAAATGAAATGCCTTTAAGTATGAACGCACATGAAGTTTTTAATGGTATTAAGTAAATTACCTAATTTGAAATGCTAATTCTGTTCAAGGCATTTTCCACCATGTGTTAGCATCAAGCTAATGCATTCATTTATGTGCATTCAGTCCATCCTGGAGAAGTCTGACCCCCACCCCAGTACAGTCAGAGCAGGCCTGGTGTGTTTACCACTAGTGTCCAGTATGGGCAAATATCGCCTGTGACGATGCAGTAATCAATGCTAAGCAGAGTCTCAGAATTTTGGCAAGTACTGGAAGAAAGCCACTTTTTATTTGGAGAAGAACTTCTTGTTCTCTTTGCCAGGGCGAAGTACAACCAACAGTCTGGTCTATGGAGTGCGGTGCTCCTAAAGGGTGATTTCTGAACTATCAGCCAAAAAACTTTTGTCAACAGTGTTGAAAGCCTTGTTTCATTTAGCATCACCTAAAATACTTTTTTTTTCCTTTCATTTCTTGTTTCCTGTTTTACTTTGTTTTACAGCCTTTCAGCCTTACTGTTTCCTGATTTTCAAGCTTTGTCAAAGCCTCCATGAAATAAGCAAGTCATTCCTTTACTTTCTAAACAGGTCCATGTGCTGTACATAACATGCCTGGGGCGGCTAACAGTAGAGGCCATTCTTGCTTCATCTCTTTATACAATAAGGGGCAAATGTACTTCTGTGTAATGTATCCTTGTAATCCTTTTGCTCCTTTTGCAAACGGTCTAAATCTAAAGGAACACATAAAAAACATTAAATAACCCAGAACTGGGCTGCAGAGCTTTTAGTGTCTTCTTGCTCAGGGGCTGTTTGTGCAAATTCCAAGCAGGAAATTTGACTACATTTGGGTAGTCATACAAGCCCTGACAGTCACACACAGTTAGAGTGAATTTATAACTGTTTCAGAGAGTTGGTGGTAACTGCGCTGCAGTGTAAAATGGTAATCCTGCCTACCCATATCCCTGCGACATGATTGGCTGTTCGTTGTATTTTTATTCTTCTCTTTAATGTTGTGTGTGAACTAGCTCTTTTGGTGCATAAGCGCCCCCCTTTCCCAGTGTCTGGGTGGTGTAATTACAGGTTCAAATCTATCAAACTTTTACTGAACATTTTTTTTATATTTATTTATATTGAGAAAAATTACATTGCGATAATTATTGTTATGGTTTTATCGCCCAGGCTTAGCAGTAACCCCTCCTCCAGGTGGGTGACACTCCCACAGCTAGGTGTTTGTTCTGCCCTCTGAGTCTGCTTGAGCCACCCAAGCCCTTCCAGAGAGGGGGTGTGGTCAAACAGCTCATTTGCATTTAAAGGTACAGACACAGAAATAGCCTGTTCTGAGCAGGGCTGAAATAGAGGGGTTTATAGACATGATCAAATACAGGATCAGAGTGGATTTAGAACAAGAAACTTCGCACATATGTTTTGAGGAGTTCTGAGACTTATTTATACTTGTTGAAAAGGAGGATAATGTGACCTTTAACAGTGATGTCCCGCTCTAAATCTTTCCTGCAATCACAACAATTCTAACTTTTTGTGACATAAGAAATCTAATTCCCTTTAAATACAGTTTGTATAAAATAATTTACAGTACCATTAATTTAAAGCAGTAATATTTCCCAGAGCTGTCTGTTGTTCAACAAAGACAAATATCTGCTCAGATGTTTCGCTGTAGAAACATTTAAGTATTTTATTTTGTAAACCTACATGTGCAGAAGAAAGTTGCTTTACAAATACTGAAAGTAGGGTTCCATCATCCATGCAATATCCTGTGCAATCTCAACGGGACCTTGAGATTGCAACATTTTCTCAGTTAAACACAACAATCGAAATACCCACAGCAAGTTTATCCCATGAACACATGAGGCATTAAAAGTCCTTTGGAACATACAAACCTCTTCATTGGGTTTCCAGTTGTATTTAGACACGTTGTATCATTCACAGTTGTCATGTCATTACATTGTGTCCCTGCACAGGCATGTTACTGGTATTCACTGTCTCTTCCTTTCTGTTCTTTTCTGTTCTTCTGTTTTTCTGTGGCTAGCTGAGACAGGCAAGTATGAAAATATTGTCGACCTCCCTGAACGATCAGAGCTGCTCACCCCACAGTGACTGTAAAAAAACATGGCTGAATAATATGGGCCCTGCCTCCTCCACTAGTATCTATCACTCCCATATGGCATGTTTTGACTTAGTGTTTTATGATATGATGAACCTGGAGATAGACTTCAGTGACACAAGCTAATGCTTAAAACAGTAACGGCTTAAACCTTCAGGACCAAATATTCAATCTTCCCTCCCCCTCCCTGCTGTATTTCGACCTTCTTAAGGGGACTGTTTTGAGCTTCAAGATGACTCACTTTTCTAACAATTAAAACAACAGGAGATTAAGAATTAATGAGGATTTGCACAATTCATCCTTCCCCCTTAAGAAACCGTTTTCCCAGGAGGTACTCAATTTCCTCAGTTTGACATTTTCATGCTCTCCTGAAGCTAACCACCACCTTTTTTTGTCTACTTTTTCTCATAATGCATCATGCCTTTATTTTTAACCACCATTTTTGTTCTTAAATATTTCTTTTTTAAAGACAGTCAAATGACTATATTCTGTTTCCTACCTCTCCTTAGCCTCCCACCAAAGGATTTGTTTTGCTGCTCATGATCCAGAATCCCCTAGTCGTTCTCTTAGAATACAAAATAAAAGGAGTGTTACTGTGTGTTTTCTTTTTTCCTTTAGGTCCTGAGTGAGGCTACAGAAGATAACCTCATAGACCTCGGCCCTGGCTCCCCTGCGGTGGTCAGCAACATGCCCAGTGCTGCAGCCCCGACCAGCTTGCCCCCCGCCATTACAGCCCCGGCAGGGAGGCCCTCCTCCCCGGCCACCCTGGCCTCTCGCCTGGCCGGTCTTGGTACGTTGTACAGACTCAGACATTCGCTTACTGTAGGACTCACTCTGACATCACATTATGTATTACGTTAACATACATGACTGCTGTATAGGAACTTTTTTTTAAAATCCTATTTGCAAAGAGCTCACAAACATTTCTTAAAACAGTTCCTACATTTGTAAATTCAACGTATTTATTACTGTGTTTTTGAAGCGTTGGTTAATGGACTTTGACTGGTATCTCCACTCGTTATGTAAGAGATAATATACTGTCAAATCTGGTGAATAAGATTCTCTATTTCTACCTATTTTTTCATCTAAAAAGTTAGCTGCATCCTATTTACCCACGCTACCAACATACAGCTAAAATAGTGACACGCGCCATCATAACCACAAGAGCAGCCACCACCATCACCCATTGCAAGCAACCTGATTTATTTACCATGGGACCATTTATTGCTTATTGCCGGCTGTCCTTGGATGAATTGCAACAATATAGTGATAATTGTGTGACTGATAATGGTGTTTCTGTCCCCCTCCAGACGTGGGTGCAGACAGTGTGAGCAGCACCTTGAGCACTCTGTCCAGCTGTAAGCCTCCTCTTGCCCAGGATGACTTTGATGTGTTTGCTCAAACCAGGACTGGAACTCTGCCTGAGCCGAACAAGACGTAAGGAAGGACACGTCAGAAATGTCTTCTTGAAACTACATTTCATCATTTTCTCTGACGTCTGAGTATATCGAATGATTCAGTGTTTTATGCAGAGGTGATAGAAGTTGAATCTTGTAGGATGTCATGGTCATTTTGAGGCCTATAATGAATCGTTTTGGAACCAACAGCACATAGAAATGGCATAAAAAAATATAGAAATGTCACACAGACTTATTCAATTGTGTTGTTTTGATTAGGGTTCAGCCCTGAAGGGGTAGAACCCCTATTGTGTTTGTGTGAATGTATCGTTATTATTATTATTATTTGTCTTGTGCTGCGGCTCAAATGATAATTACTGTGTTAGCTTTAAACAGTCTATCCCTTCCTCTTGTTTCAGATCTACAGCCGAAGACAGCAAAGTCCCAGACAGCCTTCCTCCCACTCTGGAAGTGGTACAGCCGACTGCAGGAGCGGTGAGTCTCTGTGGCGTTTGTGTGTCTGCTGTGGGCTTTTAATTTTCAGTGTCTTCATAAGAAAACATCTGAGGGTGTTGATTGTATGCACCATGATTAAACAGACAGCTTGGCTTAGTCCTGGGCGATAAAACAATAATTATCGCGATATAACTTTTCTCGGCATTTTCCAGCACCGCAATGAGCTTATGATGGTGAAATGTTCCTCTGTTTAGGTATAGCTTGTCATGTTCTGACGATAAGGAATAATGAAACCATAATTAACCATCTGGTTTCTTCAGCTTTCACTCAGGAGCAAAAATCTGCCTTTAAATTATGAAAGAAATAATGATTAAACATTTATCGTGATAATTATCGATGATGTGAAATTTGTTATCGCCATAATATTTTTAGTCATATCGCCCAGCCCTACCGTTGCTCTTGATTGTGCTGCTTGATGATGATAATCACTTAATTAAAATTGAAAAAAAACACATTTTTAGCTTAACTTTGAGAATATTTTTTCTTACTCACCTTCAGTCTTAACCCCATATGGTTTAAATACTCTGGCTACAATTCCTGCTGGCTGGTTATAAATCTGTGTGACCCCTTGGCTATTGTGTTTCACGCTTTACTAAAAGTGAGAACTAGTGTGTGGTGTGCACATCCAGGCAAAATGCAAATAAGGTGCAGGATTAAACATTCACTAACTGCAGATTAAAAGAGAAAGATCAGCACACTGTTTTTTACCATTTTATTTTGACAGTGCAACATTTCAATCTGCAAAATCTTCCTCAGGAAAATATGCTTCCTCCCTTACGTATCTCATTGTGGAATATTTAGATACTTCTATAAACCTCTGCCAGCTCAAACATTTGTTTGAAATCTATTTTTGTGCTGCATTGTAAAATACAAAGAGGATTTTCTTGTTCCTGAGGTATATGTCGACCCTCTGCTATGTTTGTTGTCCCTATCTTGACTTTATCAACAGGTGATAGTGATTCTTGACACACGCTAGAAAACACTGTTTGTCTCCTGCCACGTTTGTCTGAGTGACATCTTGTAGATCAAAATGTTGCCCTGATCAAATACATTGCCACTGGACAGTGTGCAGATCTTTCTCTTGTTTTCATGCTTTCCAAACAATTTTGTCTTGTCCAATGAAGTGTGTGTGTGTGTGTGGCTTTGTGTTTACCCTGTTTTGACACTTAACACAACTGAATTGTGGGGTCAGAGGGCTGATCATGTGCTGCTGCATGCGCTCAGTCATCTCCTGCTGTGACTGCCATCATCATCATGTTGCCACGCCGTCCACACATATGGACTTCTTTTTGTTTACCACACAAAATACTTACCGAGTTTGTATTTGAGTTCCTTTAAATCATATTTTTTTGTTGTTGTTTCGGGCGGGTTTTTTTTTTTGTTGTTGTTTGTTTTGTTTCTGTTGTGGCATTGCTGCCCCCTCCACCTGGTCTTGATGCTGCCCCCCCCCACCATAGGGTGTCCGAGGACAGACCTCTGTTATGGATGACATAGAGCAGTGGCTGTGTACTGATGTGGTGAGCCCATCATGATTTTTATTTCTGCCTGGAGTTCTGTCTCACCTTTTTCTCTTTTCCTTTTTTCATCCTGTTTCAATCTTTCATATTTTTAAAGTGTTTTTACAGTAACACATTTCTCACACATTTCCTCACTGTTTGATCAGTCATGGATTCATATCCTACTTCACCTAAACCTTCCTAACAACAAAGTGACAAAGTGGTCAAATCAGTATGGAGTTTTGCTTGCAAAGTGTAATGATATAAAACAAACTTTGAAGAGGTCTGAGGCTCTTAGAGGGGGAATGAAGGTCCAATATGTCAAATATTTAATTAATGAAATCATACAATGACCTTACTATGTGATCAGACATTAAGGAAACATGCTGTGTTGATGTACTGGCTTCTCTGTCAACAATGCAACAGCCACTATGTCCTCCTTCAACATTTAGATTCCTGTGTGGAATGGTTTAAGTTTTGGTTGCTAAAGCACTGCAAAACTTCATGCTCATTTTTCAACAAGTCCAGGCTGCGTTGTTGAGTGGTGTTCCAGCTGTTTGGTTGGGAAACAACTGGTGGATTTTCATTCCTTATCACATTCATGAGCAGAATGTATTCTGGTTTTGGTGGTAATGTCGGGTGAGTGGCTCAGTGTTGTGTGTTAAGTTAATTCTGAAGTTTTGAGTGTGCGTGTGAAATATCTCCACGGTGATGTTGATTAGTGTTTGGCACATGAGAAAGATAATGAATGTCCTGTTTTGCGAGGATTAATTGAAGCAGAATAAACTCTGAGGTGTGAAATTTTATTTATTTTTATTTGTTAACAGAAAGGAGATGAAGGTGAAGAAGGCGTGACAAGTGAAGGTAGGCAAACTTTAATCTCCTCTTAAATTAAGAGTTGTTCCCATACTGATTGGGTCTATAACATGGTATCTGTATGGTGAGTATACCAGTCTCTATACGCGGATCAGATACTTTTAAAAGTTGTGCTCTAAGAAATAAACATTTAAAGCTGAGTGTAAATATCCATTCATCAATGCACTGTAATATATACTTTTTTCCTAATTCAATATCCATTCAGTAAATCCTAAGATTGATTGTTTGTGTTGTCAAAATCTAAGGCACGCTTTAAGCCTAGTTATAGTTATACTATATAAAACTCTCTGAGTCGCCGTTGTCTTAGCAACCAGTTTAACAGATGTGCTCTTTAGAGCATCCTGTACTTTCATGTTTTATACTTTGTTTGTAAAAGAATGAAATAAACAATCAAATAGATTTTAGAGTCAGTGTGTTCTAAAACCAACACAAATAATACACACATGGTTATTTAACAAATATCAGAAGGTACTGTAATTAATTATCAGGGTATTTCTGTCATCTATGTGTATTATTGAATTGATATGAAATTGAATTCTGAGCTCCTTGACAACACGCAGCCCTTAGATTAGCTTTAAGAATTTGGTTTAGATGGATTATTATCATCATGTGAATCAGTGCCATATGTACATGTAATCTAACAAGACACAAGAGTACCAAAAAGTAAGACAAAAAGGCAATAATGCAGGAAGGATATAGTCCAAAACAAATCTGTAAAATTAAGGAAATAAAGTTTTTACATTCAAATTTTCCCCCACATCCTCACTTCTGATTGGTTACCTGTGCATGGTGACGGTAGTTAAATGTAACCTGATGAAACAAACTATTCACTGGCATTGCAGATGCAAATGCAGCTGAGGGTGCAGCTGTTGTTACACGTAAACATTAACTCTAGGTCATATATTTGTGATCATTCTGATACTCACCCAGCTCTGTGCTCTGTTTGTTTTCCTGCTCGTTTGACCTTTGCAAGTCAAGTTCATGAACCGTATTCAAAGTTAGCAAAATGTGATCATGTAGTAATATTTATTTAAAGGAAGAATGTGCGACTTTTTGATCCAGTAGATGTCGCCCTCGAGCAACAGCATGAAACCAAAACAAACTGCTGTTTGGAGACAACTCCGCTCTCCTCCAGCGGCACACCTCCAACCCCTCTCCTATAAAGCTTTAGAACAGCTTCATATGTAAGGCCGTCCCGTCCATGTAAACATGGCCCGCCCCCCCAACAGCCTTCCCCCGCCCCCCCTGAAGGTAAAGTAAAAAAAAATATATATATATTTCAAAAGATTTATTTTGGGGCTTTTTGTGGTTTTATTGTAGGGATAGGATAGTGGATAGAGTCTGAAATCAGTGAAAGAAGTCATTTAAGGATACCTTTCCGATAGAAAAGGACAGCTGTCTTTTTAAAAGTAACACATGAACACCAAGATTCCTTCAAGTGTTTGTGTTGTCATGTCGGCTTGTCGGCTTGTCCCCACCCCCCCCAACGCTGTAAACCTAGGGGAAACACTGATTTATGTGTAACATGTCGCACATTCTGCCTTTAATACTGGAATCTTCTGAGGCTTCTGTGAACAAAGATGTGAACAGAAGATTATAGTTACTTGGTTTTTGTCTGGTACAGAAAAGTTTAGCTCTAGAAATCAGCATTCAGAAGAACAAATCTCTACATTTTAATTAAAAGCTACTTACTATTTAACATCACAAATTTACATTCTCTTCCTTCCTTTAAAAAAAACCAATATATATATATTTCCAGAGTTCGATAAGTTCCTAGAGGAGAGAGCCAAAGCAGCAGAGATGGCCCCGAGCCTACCGTCGCCCCCCAGTGGCGAACCAGGAGCAGGGCAGGGGACCCCAAGCCGCAAAAAGCCAGACCGGCCGGAGGACTCTTTGCTCGCCATGTAGACCCTCCATCCTCTCAAGCTGCATCACCCACAAGGAGAGACTGACCTGACACTGAAAACACACCCATCTCACAACACTGATCAGTTACACTACAAAGATTTGTACACACTCTCCGAAACCAAAAAAAAAAAAAAAAAAAGGGAATCATTTGTGTTTGGGTTAATGTATCACCAGAAAGGGAAGAGAACACACAGAAAATCTTATTTTGATACGCCAACAGAAGAAGAATCTCCCACACATGATGACGTGTGTCATAGACTTTGAGGCGGCCCTGCTGTCACCTTCCTCTTTAGGTGTGAAGAATCTCCCTCTGCCTGTTTGGACTGCAGAGCTTCTTGTTGCAGCTAATCCTTAAAAAAAAATAAGTTTTATAAAAGAAGCGACCCGCTGTCCTCGTTAACCGTAGAGAATCACTTTCTTACCTAAGCCCTTAAAGCATGCATCAACACCACGCAACTCTCCCAATCATTTACGTTCTCATGATTAAAGACAGAAATATTATGTTGTTATTGTAGGCCGGATGCGGACCTACGACGATATTGTTTTTGGTGTTTGTATCAAGTCCCTTTGCAAGTCAGTCAGTCAGTCTTGAGTTGAACTGTAAATCTGTAAATGACAAATGTGGAGTTTATTAGTCATGTGTATATTTAAGCTACATAATGTATGAAAGAGATGTTGATTTAATGCAGAGTAAAAAGAAAAGGGGGAAGAGGGGGGGTTTATCATCCAGCTGCTCTGACGAAAGGGGATGTACCTGAGTGGGCTCACGAGAAAAGGGAACGTCATTAACTGAAAAATGAACCGAATGAGAAGAAGAGAATGTAGTTTTTTTTTTGCGATTGGCATCATTGCGCACTGCAAACCAACAAATGTGTTGTCGATTTCTCTCTGATTGAACGTGCTGATTTGTTCAGTGCAAAGAGATTACGTTGCTGAGATTTTCTTAGCCTGAAGCTGCTGTCTGACTCATTTTTGAAGGTAGTTTGTGTGTAACTCCGTCTGCAGAGAAATACTCTAGTTACTCTTGTTTCAAGCTGGAGGTTTATCTCTTTCTTTTTTTTTTTTTGCATAGGTTGCTCTGTATTATTTGTGTTCTGCGTTCACAGGACCAAATCTGTGCTCTCACCTGGATGTTTGGAGGACATCTCTTCATAATCCGGTTGCTTACGTGCAGCGACGTAATTAAAATCACACTACAGAAGCTGTTTTGCACGTTTAGTGCTGTGCATTGCTCCCGTTTTATTTGGTCTTTGCTGACCTTTCAACGTGACATTTTGTTTGCAGAAATGAGCTGTCTGCAGACACGACAGCAGCGCTACAAATGAACGCTCCCTTGACAACATTTAATGCAACATGTTCTACAACAAACAACAAGCTGGAAACAAAAAAAAACAAGCACGCACTTTGACGTCAGCGTTACCTTTGGACGTGTGAAGTAGATCATTTAACACTAATGTAATTAATGAGGGAAATAATGAAGCAGAAGTGTAGAAATTATTTATTTGGAGCTATTTTTAATCATTTTATTGTAATAAAGAGAAACATGAAATGTGCTGTTCTAAGGGACAGACGCTGTTTGTTTTGAGTGTTTCTGGATTTTGTTTCGATGTGTACATTGCTGCTGGCTAATGTATCCTCTTTGTCATGGTTCTGTTTGTTAGATATTCTTGTGTCCACGCAGAGTTTATAAAGCTGATTCTTGCTGTAAGAGACTCCCATTTATCTCATGAAGGATACTGGTTTTTAGTCTTTATTGCTCTTACTTTAATGGACTGTAAGCACATGAAAAAAACAGACGTCATTAACTTCCTTTCAACACTTTTGACAAGCATTAACATTGCACATTTTAAAAAGGGAAGCCTCCTGTTCCCTCATTTCAGTGTTGAACGTGTGTGTGTCAGCTGTTCTGTAGCTTTATATCAGCTCATTGAGGAAAAAAAGCAACACGCCTCTAAATGTGTTTTCTAAAGAATACATGTTGTCACTCTCCTGTTTGATCATCCTGGTTTATATCAGTGACGTGAAACTGAATCTGAGCGTTCCTGAATCTCCCATCAGTTGTCTTTTCTTTTTGCAGGAGAACAATGTGTTTCCTCGTGCGTCTCTGAATGATATGAAAAGATGCTGAGAATGGAGGCTGTGCTGTGCGACTACTACTTTTCCTGAGTTGCCTCATCTCTCATTTTTTTTCCTCTGTTTTTTGACTTCTGCATGAACTCTAATAAAACACTAGCAGTGTGTCCGCGAGCTGGCTTTGTTGTCTTTTTTTTTTTGTTGAGCAAAATATCTCTCCAGTCCTCTCCTCGGTGTGCCATCCCTCTCCCTTTTCAGATGGTTAGAATGACCGGTAGTAAACCCTTTCCATTTACCTTACACCCATCCACCCCACCTCCTCCTGTCTCTCTCTGGAGGCCGGTGGGCCCCTCACCAGGGGCTTCCCCATTGGTTGTCAGGAATCGCCTCATCCTAGACGTGGCCCCTCTAGCCTGGGCTTAGTCACTGGAGCGTTTTTTCCCGGTCAAACAGAAAAGAGGGGTGTGCCTGTCAGACAGAGGACTGGACTACAGTAGTGAAGAGGGATCCTCTCTCACTCAACATGTGCTGTTTCTGTTATCACATGAATCTTTATGAACTCATCACTCGAATAGAGCTGCTGGATCTCTCTCTCGAAGGTAAATGGATGCTTTTACGTTCTCTCTGAAGGAGAATTTCACCCAAAAAAAAACAAAGGTAACAATTTTAAAAATGTCTTTCATTTTCTGCCATGTATTTTAAATTTCCTAAAGATTTTTCTTTTTTTAAATCACGTGGACATTTAGTAAAACAAACCATGTGCCTCTTGTTGGTGTAATGCTGACTGTGTAATGATAATCATGAGCCAATGTTTCTAAACATAACCCCCATAACTGTGCTTGTTCTCCAGTAGTGATAAAAAGAGAGATGTTGATTCTATTTCCCATGCTTCACATTTTCCTGAACATAGTAATGTGTGTTGCAGAGTCAGTGTGTGGATCTGCTGGATTCTCAAGAACTTCTTCACTGAAGAGAAGAACAAGGAGCCACTTTCCCCCCCAAGACAACACATGCTCCCTGTTAGCACACCCTGCTGGTTGGACTACAGAGCCTGACCACACACACACACACACACACACACACACACACACACCCCCACCCTACATGTGTCGGAGGTCAGATCGGTTAGAAGAAGACCATGTAAATGAAATAATCCACTGAGTGGTATAGTGGAACAGACAGCTGTTGCACCTGTTTAGCAGCGTAGACTGAGAGATGATCTGCCCTCCTGGATGTGTTGAATACGAGGGGGAATGTAGGCCAGAGCTGTGGTGCATTGTAGTTGCATTGCATGTCACGCTCACAGTGCAATGGATCTGCTCTGCAACACAGAACTTGGTCATATAACAACTCCGACCTCAGATCTTCTTTTACTGTACACCTTCTTCTGCATCTCATTCACTCAGCGTTACCCCTGTGTTCTTACTTCTTCTGGTTTTCTTCCCTGTATTTACTCATGGAATAGTTTGTACTTTTAAAATTAATGTCACAATTATTTGGGGTGTGTGGGGCATGTAATAACTTTTAATTATGTACTAGTTATCTACAATGGGAATTTGGGGAATTGAGATGGGATTTACATGCACCCCTGTAGAATTTAAAATGTAAAGATTTGATAAATATAGGTCATTTGACACAGTTTAAACTGGATCTTTGATTTTAAATTGGTAAGATACGGGGCGCCGGTAGCTTAGTGTTTAGTGTGTGTGTCCCATGTACAGAGGCTATAGTCCTCCAAGCGGACGGCCCGGGCTTGAATCCGACCCTTTGCTCCTTCCCCGCATGTCATTCCCCACTCTCTCTCTCTCTCTCTCTCTCTCTCTCTCTCTCTCTGATGTCTGACTCTATCCACTCTCCTGTCTCCAAAATAAAGGCATACAAAGCCCAAAAATAAACCTTTACAAAAAAAGTTGACCAGCTATAAATGTCATATACTTTAAGAAGTTGAATTTTCTGTTATTAATCAGCCCAGATGTGATACATTACTGTACCTCAATAAGCTCACCTTCTCTATGTTATATTGAGTTCAGTTACATTCATTTGACAGCTCCGGTTACCTGCTGATTTGAATCAATTAAAATCAGAACTTTAACTTGAATAAAGATAAACGAGAACACATCCTGTTATTTTATATTCATGTGCAGGTGAGTCTTTTTGAACTCATATGCTACAGGCATATCAAAAATCTGAAAGTCCATTTCAACAAGCTGCAACATTTATATTTACATTTACACAATTAACAAGTATTATCATCCGACCATTCAAATAATTTTGCTTTGAAAGGACCAGTCTGCATTAAGAGCTCTTTTCCTCTCAGTCATACATTTCACTTCTTATCAGCATTTACGTCTATCAAATATGTCGAATGCAGGACTTAGAGTATTTTCTCTGTTGTACTACCATTTTTTCTTCAGTAAAGTTGAATTAACATTGCCATTTTTGTTTTAAACCATTAAACTGGGACTTAGGGGGTGGTAAATTTATTAAGACATCACTTAAGTCTGTTTTATCAAAGGACTTAAAATTAACTATTTATTTCTCTTGTGTTGTTTGAAGCTGGTTTTTAGCTGCAGCTGATGTCAGACTGTGTGGGTCAAAGACACGAACTGTTACCTTCTAGTGTAAGAAATACTTTGCTATCAGTCAAATCAGAATTGACACATTCAAACACATGTCTGGCAGATTTGTGACTTACATTTTCATTTGAATGTCAGGCCCTTTTTATTAAATTGCCTAGTTTCCATTTTTCTATCTGGGCAAAAAAAAAAAAAAAAAAAAAAGCCTCCAGTCAGCTGCTTGAATTGTGTTCCTGGCAGGGACAGTCCAAGTGTAAACACGTCTCCTGACTGCCATTGATTGACATGCTGTGCTGATTTTCTCATTACTGACACACACACACACTTGAAGCCATTTAAAAATAAAAAAAAGCATATTCCTGCGTTAAAGTGGTGTGCCTGCTGTATGGGCTTTCAAATGTCAAAGGGTAGAGACGTGTGAATGTCAAAGTCCTCGGGGTGTTACATGATCTTCATTAGTATGATATCAATGTTGGATCACAGTTAAAGGATAACTTAAAGCTCTTGTGAGGGGTTTTTAAGAGACGAAAAATTCACAAATAATCCTCTTTATGACCCACAAAGGCAAACAAGGCCATCAGCGACACGATTGATCATTTATATATATTTATTTTGAATTATTAAAAAGCTGCTATTGGGTCGTCAAATGAGGTGTGCTGAAGTATACGCTGCCGAAAAAGCTTTAGTTCACATTTTTCTCCTGCTAAGATTCCCAGTTAGGGACACACTAGACTGTTAAAAGACAAGAAAGGACAAGAACAGCAAAGAGCTAAGAGGTACTGCTTTGTCCATAGGGGGCGCCAAAATCAATGCAAACCAGAAATTCCTCACAGGAGATTTAAGAGGAGGGAAATAACTCGGACTGTCGATGTTCACGCGTTTGAACATTATTCAAAAGGCCTTAACATGTTCATAATCTTTTAAAGCAAACTCAAATCAAATGACGTAACATTCATTTTTCTTTAAAAATAAAACATTTAGATGATAACAAACCTTGAAGTGAAAGGGAGACCTCAGTCATGTCACCAAACAGCAGAAAGCAACAGTGTGGGTCATTATGGACAGAAGTGATGATGTAATATCAAACTGTGTTCGTGCATTAAGCCTGATATTCCAATATAGCTCAGTGGATTATCAGTGAACAATAGGAACATATGTATTTTAAAACTGAAGTCAAATAAGCTGTGCACTGCAGACTCTGGTCTCTTTTTACTGTCAAAAAACAGACAATAGATCTGTAGTCATTTACACAAAGATCCCAGGTATGAAACACCTGTCTCTTAACCGGGCTGCATTATCAGTGGCGGGTCTAGAGGGGTGGCCAGGGGTGGCCCCCTAGAAATGTGATTTGCCACCCCAAAACATCCTAAACTGTGATTGGCTATTTACCCTGTCAGAGTAAGAATTTGTTTTAAAACCAACTATTAGCTTTTTTTGTGCAAAGGCTGCTGATAGTTTTCTTTACATATCGATGTAACATATTTTCTTTTATTTATTCTTTCAATGCTAAATAAAAACGTTGCTATCTATTTAATAAGACAGGTTAATAGGAAAGTAATGCACTCTGTCTAACTATCAATGAACTAACTGGCAATGTGTAGGGACCCAAACATTACAAGTTAGTGTGCAGGAGTTTGCATGCAAGTACTTTTAATTGTGACTTTGAACATAAATCTTCTTTTTGTGTCATTAAATATTTGAGCTAATGTTGCTTTTGCTATTATCTTGTGTTATAGTAGATATTATTGGTGAAGTTAGAAAGTGTGAATAATAGATTCACACTTAAGGCCACCCCTGCATAAGTCAGTGCCCCTGTGCATGATCATAAACTCACAGGTCACATCTCCTGATCGAGTCATTCACAGCATGTTCTGTTGCACTAGGCAGCATTTTACTGTCTGTCATTTTCAGGGAGTCATGATAGGCTAAATATACGCGCTTATGTGCTCAAGTTGGGCTGTGTGGAAAGCCAGCCTCAAGTGGACACTCGAGGAATTGCAGTTTTTTTAACTTCCACTTTGGCTTCATTGTTCAACACCAGGCAACATGTGCCTGTGTGGTCCTCTGTAGCACCCATAATGTTTTGTAATAGGTGCCTCCATATGCAGCTTAGCTTGAGGTAATTTTGCACAGGTCCAGGGGGAGGCCTGGGCCCCACTTAGATTCTGATGTACGACGCCAAAATCTTGAATCAACAATTTGGGCTGTGTTGCAGGAGGCCGCTTGTGGCTTTCTTGTCGTTTCAATGTTGCATATTTAGACAATTGTAAAATTAAAAGATGTAATCATGAGTTGTGTGATAACTCATGATTAAAACAATAATAAAAAAAAAATACCAGGCCCAGATATACCAGAATACCATCATCTCAATAATCCACCTCACAGTCTAAACAAGCAGCAGAGACTAAATGATCTATTTGTGTTTATGATTTACTTTATATTAATGTTGCAGATCAATGCTTCCCAATGTTCCTCTACCTGCACTCCTGCTTCTGCTGTGGTCTGCCCCTGAGCTGCACATTTCATGTAATCTCAAAAATACATTTCCACACTCGCAGAAATATGAGCGTGTGTGTGTGTGTGATTATAAACAACTGTTAGATGGATTAAGCAGGAGTGAAATCAAGGGAAACACTTAGAAGTGATTTAATAGAGGCCATTCATCGGGACACTGTGCCACCAGCTACAGTCTCATAACACAATCTGCGCGTTGACTTTTCGGGCCTGACTGCTGCCTTTGCTTTCTGTTTATCTGCCTCCAAAAGAACCCCAGTCGCCTCCGAGCACTTTATGCTAAGTTAATTTACCCAAATATATCCACGGCATCATGGCGGCGGCGGCGGCGGCCCCCCTTTGCTATTCAACATCAACAACTTTGTTAATGGAAACTTGCTGATCCATAAACGTTGACGCCGTTAGCTGGGGGGCAGTTCACATATGAATGTTAAAAACCCACACAATCGATGAGGGGCATTTGCAAAGGAGGCATAAGGTGTGTTTAATTATATCTGCGTCACAGGGTTTTAATGTGAGTGTGTGTGTGTTTGTTTTTTGGGGGGAGGGGGTTGCTTTTCAGGCTCAGGCAGGGGCCTCTTGTATTTAAATAGGGTCACATCTCGGCCTCACCTTGCAAGTGTTGTGCTATATTAAATGCCACTCATGTTAAGTGTGTTGAAAGCCTCCCCCTTGATGTAGTCAAGACATAATATAAAGGTTAAATTGAAAAATGTCCCTTCAACGCTACAGCTACGCCCCATGATTGATCTCCCTCGCACGGGCAGGAAAATGTTGGGCAGAGCTCGGCCTTTTTTTTGTAAGAGTGTGAATACAAAATGTTGTAATAAGGGAGTGACGGGATTAGAATTTAAGTGTCAGTCAATCAGGATTTCCAAAAGGTCAATAAAGAAATTAGCTTAAATGCAGGCAGGAGGACGTTGGTTTGAAATGATGGAGATCAGTCAAAACAACCCTTTTGTTTTTTTTCTCACAGCAGATTTGCTAAAGTAGTAGACGTGGTGTTACTGCACATATTAACGGTAGCTCTGGTCCATCCAGGTGTCCCATTTTCAATTTTAAATTATGCAAAGATGGGGGGGGGGGGGTTGCTAAAATCAAATGTGAGGGGTTGAATGTCCTCAAAATAAGATTAAAATATAAATCAATATTCAAAGCTATAAAAATCATTTAAGAAATTAGAAAGAATGTCAGAATGTTGCATGAAAAACATCCTTTTTTAAATCTAATGTCACATTGCACGTATTGTTTGATTTCATTTTGTAAAACATCAGATGCAAAGTATGGATTTGCTTTATTTACTTTACAGTCTAACTGGTTTAATAATAAGAACATTTATGTGTGACACTGTAGTGAAGGATGAGACAGATCACCTGCGGAGCCCCCATGAAAGTTAAACAGCTGAATGGAATTCAGATGTCAAGGATTTCATTATTTACACCTATGATACTCCTACTGTGACACATCAAGAAGACGTCAAGATGTGGCTGTGGGTCAGTGGTAGAGGTCTCTTAAGCTTCTGCATTCACATGTCAAAGTGTCTTTGGGCAAGACACTGAACCCAAAAATTGCTCCTGCTGTCAGCTGCATGTGAATGCGTATGAATGGGATTAGTTCAGCAGCCGTCAGTGTGTCAATGTGGTGTGTCGTTGGTGAATGAAGACTTGAAGCTCAGCGTCTGTTGCTGACTTTTAAAATTTTGTTAAGAAAATAAAAGAAGTGGTATAATGCAGGTGCCTTTTTAAAACCCACATTTCAAACACTTCCGCATGCTGAGACTGTAGTTTGTTTTATTTCTATTAAATTAAAAATTATGAAAAAGTTCAAATGAGAAAATAAAAGATGTTCCACTTGTATGAAGTAGATATATTTTTTGCTGATTTTGTTCCCAATTTTCAAAAGGAGGAAAAAAAAAAAAAAGAAATTCTAATGAGAAGCAATTGGACCATTAATCGAGGAGAAACTGAAGAAATAAGAGTTAAACATGCTGCAATAACCTGATTAATTAACAGGCAACATTATTCTGAATGAATTCTTCTTTTATGAACAAAATCATCCCCAAACTTCTGATCAGAAGATAATCTTAAATAATCCGAGTCGTGGACTTTGTTTAGACTTTTAAAGAACTTTAAAACACATCATCCTTTGACATTTTATATACAATACATGAAGATAATACTTTAAAGGTAGTGAAGTCTTTGTCAGCAGTGGACACTGAACAACAGTCTAAAGACATTATGAACTCTTTTTACTGTATTGTTCTGTGTTTTTCACATTTGATCTTTTGAATGAATCTTAAACAGTTTCTATTTAAAGATGTCTTCCACGTCTCACATACTGTACCTGTACACTTTGTTCTTCATCAAGTCTTTTCTGTCTCGAAACGTCCTCACAGTTCCTCCCAGGTTTGGACAGAGACGGTCATGAAGGAAAAAGTTTGTGTCCTCCTTTCCCCTCACAGAGTCCAGAAGTGCAGGTTCAGGTGCTGAGGCTCTAGAATGTGTACCGGCGGCCCTGTGGTTGCTACGTGAACCGGGACATGGGAGGATCTGAACCCCGTCAGCGGCGGATCAGGAGTCGACAGGATGTAGTCAATGCTGAACTTGATCTCTGACTCCGGTTTCCCCGGCTGGGCAGGGTTCAGGTTGAGCTGGTCCTGCTGCTGCTGCTGCTGCTGCCCCGGCCTCGGCCTGTCAGGGGTCAAAGGGCAGAGGGAGGAGTCGGGTTCGGGGGCCCGAGCCACTGGCGCGTGCCGATTGGCTCGGCTTTCCAAAGGGTGGAAATGTGTTTCTCCCGAATCTCGGAATCCGATTTTCATGTTCCTCCTACGCCTGCGACGACGGAAGTTTCCGTTTTCAAAGAGGTCGAGCATCGATTCACAGCCGCTGGCAAAAGTCCAGAAGTTTCCTTTTCCCTTCTCGTTGCCCTCTGTCCGAGGAACCTGAGGAAAAACATGGGATCAAAAATAACAAAAATTAGACAAGTGAAAATAATTGGAAGAAAATGAAGAATAATAGCGAAAGGGAAAACAAATAACCTAAAAAGAATACTTCAAATAATGACATAACTCAAAGTGAAGAAAGTACTACACTAAGGTGTGTGTTGTTGCACCTTGATGAAGCAGCTGTTGAGCGACAAGTTGTGTCGGATGGAGTTCTGCCAGGCTCTCTGATTGGAGCGATAATAAGGAAACCTCTTCATGATGAACTCGTAGATTCCCGACAGAGTGACCCGCTGATCGGGGCTCTGCTGGATCGCCATGGCTATCAGAGCTATGTAGCTACACACACACACACACACACACACACACACACACACACACACACACACACACACACACACACACACACACACAGAAAACAGAAACACACTTAAATCAGTGAATACAAATGGAAAAAAAAACATTTAACGTATTATATAACCTGTCACATGATAAGGGGGATTCACACTTATACATATATACATTATAAATATATTGTATTTCACCTTGAGCTCACTTAAAGTGTGTTTCTAATAAAAAATTAACTATAAATCTCTTAAATCTGTTCATTATTCCTGAAAACATTCCTTACAAGAAACTGGACTTAAAGTTATACATTTTTTGTAATAAAATTCCCCCAAATTCCCATAATGCATCGTAACCATAGCAACTGTCAGAATCAATTATGCGGTAAATATTGTATTGAGTATTTATAAGATGAATATACAGTAAATAAAGATATATAGGTGACCAATCAGAGTACAGTTTGATGTGCTGCAAACATCCAGGAGACGTGTTCTTAACAAAGTGCTAATTATTATTATTATTATTATTATTATTATTATCATTATTATCATTATTATTATTATTATTATTATTATTATTATTATTATTATCATCATTATTATTATTATTATTATTATTATCATTATTATTATTATTATTATCATTATTATTATTATTATTATTATTATTATTATTATTATCATTATTATTATCATTATTATTATTATTATTATTATTATTATTAAGTGCTGTAGAGACTGATGACTAGTCTAAATGGACTGCTTCATGTTCGGGAGGGTCTGCTGCACAAAAAGTATACTACAACACTGTTCACAGATACAGCTCTGAACTCCCACAACACAAAGAGAATCGAGGAGAGTTGTGTTATTTTCGTTTTAAATTCTTCTATAATAGGGCCACATGAACAAAAAATCAGGCTGAAAATGAACACAAAATTCAGACTGTCTTCTCAGCGGAGAAATCAAGAACGCAGTGATTAACTCGATCAGGATGGGATGGAAGGTTTTGAATTATTTTTGTTTTGTTTTATAATAAATGGATGCATGGAATAAAGTGGTTGCAGTGAAAATTAAAATACTGATGTAAAAAAAAAAACACTTGAATTAATGGAAAGTTAGAAAATAAATGGAATGGCCAAAATAACAGTAAAGTGTTTTCAGCAATCACAACCCGCTCAGACTACATCATAATCAAGTCACTTAATCTAACTTTGACTGGACACTATTGTATGTCGTCGTAAAAAGTGTTCCGTACATTTTTTTAACATTTGATTTTATAACAATCAGAAATATATTTAATAAAAATGATAGTTTTTTTTTTCTTTTTACGACAATAATCTATTTAACAGAAAACATTTCAGAGCTCACCACTTGTAGAAATAAAGTCTCATTTCTACTTTGAACCGCACTACATATGTAACTACATCTCTTCTTTGGTTCATTTTTTCAGTTTAAAAAGCTATGAAAAATATTTTGCCCATAAAGTTCTGAGAAAGTGTCCAAAATCGTGAGGATCAAAAAGTTAATTTGACATAAAAAAAATGTCGACACTGAAGAACCAATATCAGCCAGGTAATGTTTTTTTTATATTATTTTACATCTCTTTTTAGAACCTAAAAATGTGTATGACATTACAGATCATTTGATGTGAAACAGTGAATTATAATAACACAGAAGGAAAAAGAAATGTGAATACCTGTAAGCGGGTCTGCACATCTTCTTCTCCTCGTCCGTGCTGGATGAGGGGTATCCATCTCCATCGTAGTTGAAACAGTTGAAGGGGTAGTTGGAGTTATCGAACATGTCTACACCTGGAGGAGTCGTGGAGGTGTGGGGTTCACAGCAGCACCCTAACACCCTGTCCTGCTGCTCTGTTCTCCCACCATCCTCTGCTCTGCTCAGCCAGCTGACACTCAAGGCTCTACTGGAGACGGCTGCCTCAGACCCCCCCCCCACACACACACACACACACTCTGCTCCTCCTTCTCCTGCTCGTCCCAGCTGCTATCCAGGATCGGCTGTTGGTCCCAAGGACTTTAAACTCTTGTTGGGTGTCCGCTTAAGTGTTTTATCCCGTCCTGAAAACAATTAGATTCACAAATGTGGATTTTAATTCAATCTCCCCACTTGGTACAAATCAATTTTACAACCAACACTGCACATGTTTAAGATATCAAGACTAGGCCCTATTGGAAAAATCCACAAGATTTGTGTTTTTCATTTGAATTTGACCATTTTATTACAAACAAAGCTGTACTACAAAGTATTACAAACATTAAAACAATAAACTTACCTAAAGACCTCTTGCCCTGAATAATAACCTTTACCAAGGAGGAAAAAATAATAAAGTGATAAATATTTGCTGGTTTGTTGAACTTGTAGCAGTGCAAATTTTCTTGCAGGATTTGGCTAATAATAATAATAATAATAATAATAATAATAATAATAAGGCTAATATTTGGAATTAAAATGTTATTCTTGAGTAAAAGGATGTATTCCCATAGAAGTGATGTGTTACAGTAAAAGTCCTACAAACAAGAAATGCGTTTAAACTTCAGTTCTCCAAAATTGCCCTCGGCTGTGCAGCCTATACTGAACAGGATATTTATATATATATTAATATAACCCTGGGTTGTCAGGTGTGTTGCCGTTTATTGAGAATATTCAGAGACTTTCTTTCAATAGTTCAGGTCAGAGCCCGACCCTAATTAGGAAACCCTTTTAAAGCCGTTTAAGTCTCTAAATGTAATATGGGAGGTAGAACTTTCAGTAATCAGACCCCACTTCTTTGGGATCATTTGGCAGATAGACACCCTCTCTACTTTTTAAGTAAACTCAAAACTTTCTTTTTTGATAAAGCTTGAACTTACGGCTGGCTCGGCCACGAGTTATGCTGCTATAGGCTTACACTGTGGAGGGACCTGGATGACTTAGGTCTCGTCTCCCCCTCGCTCTCTATCTGTATGCATTTAAATCATATTACTGCATGTCACTGACTATAACTCTTCATGTACCATGAAAGCTGCTAACGATTTATCTTCCTTGGAGTTTCTGAGCTGCCTTGGACCTTGTCTGCTCTGTTTAAAGTGTCCTCAGATAACATTTGTAATGAATTGGCGCTACAGAAATAAAGCTTATTGATTGGTTGATTAATTGATTCAGTATTGCATTTCTAACAACTTATCCCTCTTTGAGCAGTTTGTGGGAAAATGAAAAAGTTGTGGAAAAATGTAGATGACACAGCATCATAGATTTACTGATAACCTGAAAGACTTTTGAGAAAACGATTGCATGCACTGTTGACTATTTTTCTGCTTTCCACTTCTCTCATCTCACATTGTCTATTTTCATGTTAAAGGATATGATGTCATGTTTTCTGATCACAGGGGGGAAAAAACATTTTTTTAAATTGTCCAATAAAAATTCTAAATAAGATACTTTAGTGAAATGATTTCCCCACCACCCCTAGTTGTGGTATATTATATGAGACCTGCCGATGGACTTGAAGGTGTTCCTTTTTAATTTGCACTTCATTGAGCTGGTCCAGTCCAGGTAGACTCACAGTAGCACCCTGAGCGAGTGTGCTGGACAAAGGCCTCTGCTGACTCGCCTCCAGCAGGATTCTGGGTGGTCTGCTAAACTTGTAGTCTGCCTTCATGTTTTATTTAGCTTCTTTTTATAGCCTAATCTCTGTGACTGTACTCAAAACAGCCAGCCCCAAACCAACAAACAACATCCTTTGCATCTTTGTTTTCTTTTTCTCTCCAGTGTGTGTGTGTGTGTGTGTGTGTGTGTGTGTGTGTGTGTGTTGTGTCCACTCTGGCAGACGTTTAGTCAACTACGGGAAGTTTTGGAGATGCTATCAATAATGCTCTATAATGGCCATAAATTGTTTCCGTGTCTATGAAACAGGGGGATGTGTATTTTGAAGGATCTTAACGGGGCAATTGGAGGTCTCCTGTGGGGCGACAGAGGCCAGAAAACAGCCTGGGGTCTGCGGGGCCTCTGTGTGTGGCCCTGCTGCTGCAGGAGAGGCTCATGGGAGTTTTAATGGTTAATGTAGAGACATAAAAGCCAGGTTTCTTTTCTTTACTTTTTATAATGGAGCTGCTCAAAGGTCAACATTAATCTCAATTGAAGGTTCTGACAAAGACTTCTTAGATCATTTATAAAAAGTTAAAGGCTCCAGATACACTGTTTTAAAGATTTTGGTTGGAATTGTCTTTAGGTCCTGAGAGAAATTAACAACTCATGTGCTCTGAAAAAGGAACGAAGGAAATCTGTCATCTGTAGCAGTTTGTAAGCATGTAAAAACCTCGACCAATGTCTGCCACGAGGTACCAATCTGATGAACCAATCAGATGCCTCCCTATGTCCCTGTTCGCTCTCTACTCCTCTCGTGCACTAGCTCACACTCAAAGTGCTCCGTTGGCCGCTGTGAGAAGTGAAATAGTCATGTTGTTTCTACACAATGCAAGAGATGAGCTGAAGTCCGCTACGAAAGCAACAGCACTCTTGCATGTAAGTGAGGGGGGCGTGGCTTTTGAGGGAGCACAGAGGGGAGGGGCTGGGTGCAGACGGAGCACTGAGGGAATGCTTTCTACTTCATGCTAGTTTTTTCGAAAATGACCAACCCTGCCTTTTAAAGTGATCTCTGATGTGATCTCGACTGACTCTTTTTTGTGTCTCTATTAACACACAAAGTTGTGTTTTTGACATACAGGTAAAAATAAAAAAATTCCCCTGAGTGTGGGTGTAACTGTGCAGGGCCAAAGCTTAGTTTATAGTATTGAGGTCATATAACAACTTACTACAGAACTACATTATAAAACATTTATATTCATTGCAAATAAGTAAAAAAAGGATGTTGTGTATTTGTTGAATTGCTTGTTTCAGCTTTAAGAATTGTAGATTTTCTTTTATGAAGTATTTTACTTCAGGGCCTCTTGCTGCAACTAACATTATCAGTCATTCCTATAAAATCCGGTGTTAACGCTTTTTGTTGACCTGATGACTTTAACTGTTGTAATTATTATTATCAGTCCTGTTTCCTGCTAATGTCACTCATACTTTTACTATCTTTATTGGCACTATAGCCACATGTATGTTTCATCTGTCGTTACCATTTGCTCTGTTGGTTTTTGTCTCTATCCAGCTCTCTCTTTCTGTGTCTCTCCATCTATCCGTCTTTCCCAGCCCATCACAGTCACAGCAGACATCTGTCTAACATGAGTCTGCTTCTGCTCCAGGTTTTCTGCCTACTAAAAAAGCAGTTCTGCCTGGCTACTGTTGTAATGTTTTGCTCATGGTGGATTCATGTTTGGTCTCTATAAATCATATAACAGAGAGTAGCTCTAGACCTGCTCATTTTTGCACAGTGTCTTGAGATAAACTTTGTTATAAATTGGCCCTGATACAACAAAATAAAATGCTTGATTAAAGATTAAATATTATGGTATGAGCTAGGGCTGTGCGCAATAAAAATCAATATGGCAATATATCGTCATGTGCTGCTTGTATGGATGTTACAGATTCAATATGGTTGCAAAGCTGTCATGACCATTTTGAAATACATTTGATCTATGCTGCAGTTCATAATAACACCATAGCCACAGCTCTGGGATTCAAATATGTTCATGTATTTCTAGGATCTCTGAGGAGCTGAATTGAAGTGTTTGAAGTTGTAGGATCCTTAATATGCATCTGCTGTTATTCTCAACAATAAAGAACAGCTGTTGTAGTGATTTCTGTGTAGGACATGGTCATGATTCAAAATCAATGTATATCACCATATGTATCGTGGGGTTGTGGGAAATACCACCCAGTAATATGAATGAGCTGAATTATACAAACATGGCCCTGAATAAAGAAAGCATGTCATTTTAGCACAGTTCTGTACTTCAATATGCTTAACGAGCCTTTTACATAAGAGTTGTTTTTAACATTGTATTTGTTTTCACAAGACTTTTCTGTTACTACAACTGTCATATATTTCACTATATAATATCAAGTCACTGCAATCAACTGAAACATAAGCTGACAATGGGTACTTTTCTGCCTTTTTTCTAATAGTTTGAATACATTGTGACGTATTCATCGCGTTCAATTAAGAACTTTTCTGTTCCAGCAAAAAATCCAACATTTATTGTATTGTAGGTAAAGCATCACAACACGTCCATCACTACTGAGGAATAGGTTGTTCAGTTAATCTATGTGTTGTTGGTACAACAATGCAACAAACAAGCAGCCACCACGGTGTCAGCCGTCAGGATTTGTATGGACGTCCTTCAGAGCAGCGGGGCAGGTTGATTGAGAAACAGTTCATTTCCATTTCATTTATTTATTTAAAGGACAGTGCACATTAATCAACATTTCTGTAAATGTGCCAGTGTTAGCCAGCAGGCTCATTTTCAACTGTAGTCCTTTGGCAAGATGTAGGCAAGGCACAGGGTGGCTAAAAAATAAAAAACATGTTAAAGAATACACACAGCAACAGATAACAACAGTATAACTTGATGCCAACATACTGGCTCCATTAAAACAAACACAAAACCATACAACTTTTCTGAGCAGCTGAGAGGAGAGAAGGAGGAGGAGAAGAGAAGGAGTGGAGGAGGTCGGTGAGGCAGGTTGGTCTGAGCTGAGATCAGATAAGCACCTCCCATGACCAGGCTTCCTCTGTCTGCGGCTGCTGCAGCGATTATAGCCGACAGCCTGCCTGGTCACTCTCCGTCTCTCTGATGGTTGTCTCACAGTCCGCTTCCTCCAGTCAGAGCTCCATCTGTGTGTGTGTGTGTGTGTGTGTGTGTGTGTGTGTGTGTGTGTGTGTGTGTGTGTGTGTGTGTGTGTGTGTGTGTGTGTGTGTGTGTGTGAGTCTGTGTGTGCATGCATTTATGTAAACCAACCAAGAAGTGTTTCCGGGGGCTGTTCTGTGAGGAAAGGTTATCAAAACACTCCAGTGCAGTGGGAACTGTAAACATGCTCCTGCACAGAGCAGAGGCTGAGGGCCATTTTTGCTCTGCATGGTGCTGTGCAGCCGCCCTCACTGCATCCATTCACTGCTGCTGCACATAGGAAGCTCCACAGCTGGCCTGTGTGCACCTAGGTGTTCAATCACCCAGTGTGTACCAACACTTACTATTCTCACTCATTGGGCTGTTTTTTTTTCTTAATCTTGTTTGGCTTCCCCAGATATCTTTTGCATTTTGGTCCAGCTTGCCGATGTCCAATTTCTAGTACAAAAAGACACACACACCTTCAGTACAACAACGAAACCTGATGGACAGCTTTAGATAAGTAATGACTTTAACTTCAGTCAGCAAAAAAAAAGGGATGTTTGTTTAACATTTTCTGCCTGAGATGAATTTACCCAATAAAAAATGAACAATCTTTAGACAGAGACTGTAGTATCAGATCACGATTTAAGGAAAAGTTTTCTTTTCTTTTCAAGAGTGTTGTTGAGAACTAAAGGTTATGATGGACATACAGAGCTAGTTAGTTGTAACTAAGCAGCGACCTCTGGTGTTGAATAATGAAGCAAACGCTGAAGTACAAAATCCTGCAGATTGTCAAGTGTCCGCTTGAGGCTGGGCGCAGAAGCACCTAAAGTCACATACACAACCATTCTAAAAAGGTTGTTTTTAAAGCCTGACGTAACATGTTGACAGCCTGGTTCAAAAAACTAAATAGTATGATTAGCTTGTGTCTCGATTTGCAGGGGGGGATTTTGGTTTTATGAAGGATGAGCGTTATTCACAATGGTGTGAGGAGGAGCTGACTTGATTGACAGGTGGGCACGATGTAATCATTTTCAAGAGGCTTAAAACCCGCCTCAGCTCCAGCTCTCAGCCTGTTGTTAGGTTGACTCAAAGTCAGGTTGAGACAGTTTTTCCAGCGTGGAGACCGCCACCGATGGGACTCTAAAGCCCCCTTCAGTAACAGATGGGTGACCTCACTCAGGCTTCAAACATTAATATTTACAGTCTATGATTGTTAGCCATTGTAGTGGCAATTTCTTCTTGTGTGTCATATAAAAATTGTCACTTGTGTCATAGGAGCCAACCTGTTCGTTCCTGATGCCTGTCCACTTAAATATACTCACAGATCCGTTGTTTCACTTGATTTCTTATTTTATTCGTAATTCCACTTGTTTCCAGAACAGATCCAAAATGAATATATCAAAACTCATAACAAAAGGTCACGATCAAAAAACATTTGCTGCGTGGCTCCTAAACCTCCACCACAGTCCACAAACAAAAAACGATCTACTATCTCACCACCTGTGTATCAGACCCAAATTAATTAACTCGGCTCCACCCATAACACAAAATACCTGCCAAAATATGCCCAAATAAATCCATTATTCACCATAATGTCAAATCAAGTACTTCGCATAAATTAATACTTATTTCTTACAACACAAAACATATACTCTGTTAACACAAACTTAAACCATACTTCTGAAACTAAAGTTACCATAATTAAAATGGCCTCTACAGCCATGTTTTCTGTTGCTATGCTAAGCCCAGCCGTATCCTCTCTGCCTCAGGTTGGACTGAATTTGCACGAGTAATGTAGGTTTTTAAAAAATTGTCAATTCAAAAGCTGTCATACAATATTTAACGCCTCTTTTAAAGGGGCACATTGCATACAATCAAAGTGATTTGATTTGACTGTGGAATACTTTTCTGTTTTGGAAAAGCTTGTGTCCTCCCTTGATCCTTTATGTGTTGTGGTCACTGTGTCTCTTCCTTTTGTTGTCTTCTGAATCGTATCTCCTTGGTGAGTCTCTTTGGAAACATTACTTGCAGCTGTTTCTTCCCTCTGCTCAGTTTGCACCCTTGTGGACACAGGAGGAAGTGCACCACTGGAGTTTAAAATTGGTGAGTTTCTTCAGAAAACGTGATGTCTCTGATTAGAACTCAGTTTAAACTTTGCATAAACAAATAAAAAAGAAACTCTCAAGGATAAGGAACATTTATGAGCAGTTACTGAATGGGGGCTTCTTTTCAGGGAGGTGGTTTTGCATCTTTTATGTTTGTGGGTTTCTTATTCTTATTAATTTGTATGAATTGTGTCACATTTTGTTCACAGCACATATTTCATGTCTTTGGAGAATGACCCCTCCTTTGTCATTCCTCTAAAGGTTTCTTACATTTTTTTATCACAAGGAGGATTTAGGAGGACATTTTTTCCTGACTCAAGTATTTAGTTTTTTTTTTGTATATTTAATAATGCCCTTCGAGGCCAGTTGTGACTGTGTGTTATACTAATAAAAAGTAATATTATATAAAACATGCACATTAAACACATACAAACTCACAAACTTTTACTTAAGAACAAAACAAAGACTCACTTTCAAATTCTGCTCATTTTTGTTTTATTGCACTTTTACCATGATGCAAATAAGTGAAACCATGAGTTGAATAATAAAAAGAAGCATTTTCACTTTAAGAACACACCCTCTAAACGTTCTCCGTGGACACACACACACACACACACACACACACACACACACACACACACACCTCCAGATACACACACACACACACACACACACACACACACACACACACACACACACACACACACACACACACACACACACACACACACTCACACACTGCAATGACCTGACAGGACAATGGAATCTCAGACTGTGTAATAAAACACTTATGGAACAGATGGCGTCAGCACACACACATACACATATATGTAGACCTCCGTATCTTATCTAGAGCTCGTACCGTGGAGGATTTGAACCCTTTCTGCTATGAAACCAGACATTCAAGTATTTCTATCATTGCACAGGCACTAGATTTTCCTACTGAATATATTAACTTTCAGCCAGACGCCAACAGTTCAGCTTTCAGCTGTTGGTTTTCAATGAAATATACATCCTGAAAAATAATCTTGCCACAACAGCAACATCTGGACATCAAATATATTACAAAGAAACAAAAATATAAAACTATTCGTGTCACATTTGGCTTTTTGTACCTTAAATCTGACCTCAAATCTGTTTGCATTGTTCAAGTTCAAATCAAGATGAAATGTTGTAAACACAGGTGGAGACTCAGTGAAGTGCTTGTTGTAGCTACAAATTTAAAGTGATTTGGATGCCTACTGGGAGTTCTGGCAGCTGCTTTTGCACATGCTCAGTTTGCCCTCCTGTGGACAAATGAGGAAGTGCATGCTAGTGTTGTAAATTGTGTTTTTAACAGAAAACTTTGATTTTACTGATTAGAATTCAATTCAAACAAATAAATATGAATTTCAATAAATACTCTTTAAAGTACAAGTAACATTTATGGGCGAAAAAAAATTAAAGGAAAAATCCAGGAGTAAACCTGCACTCCAGTCAATATCTCCATCTTTAAAACCAACACTCGTCAGCTCTGCGGAAATAAAACAATAAAAAAGACACTTTGCAATAAATCTTTTTTTTCATCAAATCAATAAAACATCGTTTTGATCATTAAGACAACAGGGACTTCCACCTCTTCCTCCAAAACACTTGCAATACCAACAATACGTAGAAACACATAATTCAGTTTGTGAAGAAGGCCGAAGAGGAGAAGAAGAGGAGGGAGGGGAGGGGGGACGAAGTTCTTTACAAGTCCCTCAGAATTCACTGAATTCAAAAGAGAGGGTCCTGAACGAGTCAAACAGAAGGCGTCTCTTGTAAGACTTTCATGGTTTGGTGGTGCTGTGTGAGACAAAGGGTGTTTCTAACCTACACTACAGTCAGGGGCTGGATATTTTAAGGAGTCTGGGTGACGTGTAGGGCGGGCGAGGGGGGGTTGTCTCATTCGTAACCCGCCCCCAGATCCAAAGAGTCCAATCCAGCAGGCGTCCACTCCCACACAGCTTCTATATTCCCCTCAGACGGGCGCCGTTCCTGTAAGATCAGCGAGAAAATCTAAGAGTCCTCTGAGAGAGATTGACTACAGATGCAGCTCGTCTGTCTAACAGGATGCTATGTCAGTTTAAAGAGAAAGACTGAAGCTGCTCAGTCCAGTCTCCGGTCTCTAGAATTGAGTCTCATCAAGCTGCCAGCTTCCCCAGACAGCTACCTATGTCGTGGGCTGCTGTGGGTGTGGTCTGTCCCGTGGGGTCCCTGTAGGTTGTCCTCCACAACGTAACTGTAGCCCTCTTTATCGATGCAGTCAGACAGCACATTCAGGACCTGGTGACAGAGAAACAGCACCAAAACAAATGTGAAGGTTTGAAATGTTTGGCCTGAAGTATGTGTGCTCACATATGTGTTTGATTAGCATTTAAATATCCAATCCATGCCTCTGAAAATATTTACTTTGACTATTTTTTAGACTAAAGAATCATTCAGACGTTACATTCCTGTGTCAACTTTTAAAAAAACAAAACAAAACAAGGAACAACAAAGAAAATGTGCTTCACTAAAATGTCACAAAATCTACAAGCAGCCAGTTTCATCACAGCACAATAAGTTGGTTTGAACTCAATTACCACTTTAGGTCAGACAGATAGCCAATCAAAGCTCAATATAATGGGGTGGCCATTAGATTTCATAAGGGCCTATGCCACACCAGCCCAGACCCTGGATGCTTTTAAAACTCCAAAGGGTTCTTTTAAAAAGACTAGATGTTCTTAGGAACTGATCTACATTTATGTGAAAAACAATAATTATCTTTCTGGTTTGAGTTAAATTGAAATATTGATGCCACTGTCATATTTGTGTAAATAAGTAAGCCAGCAGCCAGTTAGCTTAGCCAACAGTTAGCTTAGCAAACTGGCTGACTTAAAACAGTGGGGGGAGAGCTCCAGGACCCAGAGGCATTCTTCATACCTGGCGTAGTCGACGGTCCATAGCATCCAGGTGTGGCTGGATGAGGATGGGACTGAGGCGGTCCCTCACCAGGGACTCTGCCACGAGCGTGGACAGCTTGTATTCTTCCTTAGCCAGCAGCTGCAGACGCAAGTGGGTCGACTTCCTTACCCTGCAGAAACATGGAGCCGCGGGGGGGGGGGGTTCAGTTCTACCCATATGCTCTGCAGCACTGACGATGTGAATAGCCAACTCATCACTTATGTTTCTGTTATTTCTCACCAGGATAGAAAAGGATAAATAACGTAGCACATCTTCAGAAGCTACATGATAACAGCAGCACACGGGTCTTACCTGCAGCACTGAGTCAGCGGCACCAGAATGGACTTCTCATCATGGGAGTGCTTTCCAAAGCTGAGAACAACATAGAAGCATAGATGATTTTAAAGATGATCACTTGTGTTTTAAATATGCTGCTGTGCATTTGTTGTGTTCAACTCTGTTTTATGAGCGTTTGCCTGTTGTCATGTATCTAAGGAAACATGCTGTGTTGAAGTGCTGGCTTCTCTGACAACAAAGCAGAGAGAGGAGTGTGTCCTCCTTGTATGTCTTGGTACAGGTCCAGTATGGTCAGTATTTGTTTTGACCAGAGAAGGTAGGCGGTTTTAAGGCACCCACACACAGCCCTCGGTTTGCCAGATATGGTGTTTCAGCGATGACAGCGGGCAAGTGAACTGGTTCAGATAAAATTGATTCTACTCGACCTGAAAAACATTTTTTCGAATAAGCCCCATGACCAAAAACTTGCTCAAACTAAGTTAATATTGGAGATGCTTTTGAAAAATGGAGAGAAGTTAGAACGCAGAAAGGTTTTAAGACCGATGCAGAGCTGGCTAAACACTGAAGCTTCAGAGTCTGCAACATGGCAACCTACATGCACATCGACTCAAGTGAGGAGGGGGCAGGGAGAGACAGCTTACTCCAATGTTTTGAATTTGGACTGCAGTACCCGTTTTAAACACTAGGTGTCAGAGTTACATTTTATTCATTCCAATGTTTTTTTTCTTCATTATTCGTATATGTATGGATGTGTTGCTATACAGGTGATCCCACAAGTTGAATTAATAAAAGTAAAAAATGACTCATTTGTTAACTACATTTTCTAACCATTGCGAGCATAATGCAGTGACTTACCCTCTGCCATTGTCCAGATGGATGATAAAAGTCTCATTTCCAAACTTTTCAAAAGTCTCATAATGATGCCGATCCATGTTTCCTGTGTTGGAGCAACAGTGAACAATTCAGTAAAAGAAACAAGTTGCAAAACAAAAGATTACACAGAATGAAGTTCGTGTGTCATAAACTTGTTGTCCACCCACCCATGAGGAAGTCAAAGATGGTCATGTCCATGATGTCCAGTAGTCGTGTGCCGCTGTCATAAGGCGGTGTCTGTTTGACTTCCTCGCAGTAGTCGGGGTCTACCTCCCACCTGAAGAGCAAATAAAACTTTATTATTATTTAAAATGTATTCAGATGCATGACCAGGGTATGTGTGCAATAAATAAATAAATAACAACTAATACGATCTGTTTCTCCTTGCATAATGTTAGGATGAGATTACATTGTGAAACTAAGATCTCCCGCTCTGCTCTCATGAGGGTTTTTTTTCCTGGGGTGTGTGTTTCCCCCCCTGCTTACAGACAGTGTGTGGAATAAATACCCTCTAATATCTGGTCCTACAGTGAATCCATATGTGTCTGCTTCATCTCGTGATGCAGCACTGTCTGAGTGCGGGATCGATCTCTTACTCTGCCTTCTTGCGTTTGTGGTAGGAGCGTCTCCACGGGTTCCTCCAGGTCTTGCGTTTGGCAAGGGCCAGGTCTGGGAGGAAGGCGGCCAGGGAACCTTCGATCTGGTCAGGTTTCCCGCACAGAGCGTGCTCCGTGGAGCAGTAGTACGAGCACTCTCCGTAGAAACACACGTTGTTGGCTGAGGATCGGGAAAAAAAATAAACACAACGTTTTGGGTCTTTATTTTGTTCAACCTTTGTCTGAAGCAGCTGAAAAGTGGCTCTTGGGTAAATCCTATTTTACTTCTAGGCACTGCAGAGTTTGAACATACATTTCCTGCCCTTTTGAAATGCAAACCACATATATTCAAAACCCAATTTCCACAGAGATTAAACCTACCTGGACACATTCAGTGACTTGTATTAATTGCTGAGAGTGTCAGTAATTTGAATCCTATAAAATGTAAAGGTTGCATCACTAATTAACTGTCATTCTTCAGCCCGAGCTAAAGTCCCCTGATAATACTAATCCCATGCAAATGAATCTCCCAGTAATTCAGGGCACAGAAGTAGCTTTGCATTACATTACAAAGTAGGAAAATCTTTAAGTTTGCACCGCTAAAAATGATGGAAAAACTACAATTAGTATTCTTCTGAAATATTGACCCCAACGCAGAGTGGGTTTGGGATACACACGGCTGGAAGTGAAATTTTTTCAGCTATTAAAAATTCTGTGGATGTAGCAAAATCAATCTCATGGTTTGTTGGTAAAAGTCTTTTTTTTCTCCTCCAAGACGTGTCTCTGAAAAGCAATATCTCTGCTCTTTTTTTTTTCAGTTTGTACCTGGTGAAATGAAAAAAGTCCTCCAGAGCTTTTTGTCCCGTGTGACATCTCGGATCTCTTTGGTCATGTTGACGAGTCGGCCTGCCACGGGAGGAACGCGACGGAAGTCCAGGATCCTACAGGACAGAGACACAGACAGAGGGATGTAAAGAGTCTGTGGGGAGGTAAATGGGACAAGTGCATGGGTTTAAAAAAAAAAAAAACAATAAAGTTTTGTAGTTTGGTCCTGCTCATTAAACCAATTCTGTAAGTGGACAATGTACATTAATGCAATTTCTTTAATTAACATCAAAAATAGGACTTCATTTAGTTAATCAGAAGACACAGACATCATGCACATATAATTAAATCTTGTTTTATACTCAGGGAGAAAAGGGTCTTCACCCCAGATGGGACTTGAACCCACAATCCCTGGCTTAGGAGGCCAGTGCCTTATCCATTAGGCCACTGGGGCAGACACAGGTACTGCATTATCTATGTAATTTTAACTCACAACCAACAGAGGGCACTGTGACATCATGAACAGTGGAACAGTTAACCTCCCTGAGGTTTTTTTTTTATGCTATCTTTTCTTATTAAACACATTTTTTAACTTCCACACAGCTTTCTGATTTAAGATGATTCTGACTATAAACATCAAAAATGTTATTCCTGTGAAAGCATCTTGATTTTGTGTGTTTGCATCATTCGGCACGAAATGAGCATTAGTGTCTATGTGAATGTGTTCTATGGAGAGAGAAAGCTTTTAATAAAGCTGTCTATGTTTAAAGATGGGGGAGTCTCTCTGCTTATGTGCGTGCCACATGCTGATTTTATGCATGTGTACTCCCTGTGCTCAATACCTCCTTGCTACAAACTCAGCACGGGCTCTTTAAAAATTGATACCCCTGACAGCACCTAATGGCTGAAGCCTGAGGGCAGAGACGCCTGGAACGAGAGAGAGAGAGAGAGAGAGAGAGAGAGAGAGAGAGAGAGAGAGAGAGAGAGAAAGAGAGAGAGGGGGGAGAGAGCGAGAGAGAGAGAGAGACATGTTGTAGAAAAGAAAAAGAAAAAAGAGAGCTGGGAGTGTGTCATACAAGTGATGCCATTAAGAAACAGCGTCGGGTGGAGGGAGTGGGGCAGTCGGACAAATTCATGCCTCTCCCCCCTATGACACATGATGAAGCAAGAAGCTGGACTGTTGACCTGCTGTGCCTGGGAATGATGCCACGCTGAAGGGAACAGCTAGGACTATTCAGCAGCATTTTTTGGGGGGCCAAATGGGGCATGGGCCCTTTTAAGTTAAATTGGGTATCTGTTCAGTCAGAGGCGGGACTTAAGTTCAGAACAAGTCATTGAGCTTATTTGCAATAAACTTCAAGCAGATAATGTTGGTACCTTCTGTCATGACTTCAGGACATACGACTTATAAGGGAGTGCTTTCATATTATGCTGCTGCAGGATTTATATTTAAAAACCCAAGCAACATAAATGAAACAACTGTATCATATCATAGTGTTAGTAGTTAAAATACATATGATTAGTGGGGAGAGAAATATGTAATGTTCCGACGTTGCTGACACTATTCTTACCAGGTAACATTCACTGTATAAAAAGATGGACAACAGACTGCTCCCCAAAAAGGAAGCCAAAACATTTTGAGCTCCCCTATTGGCTGTCAGCACCTGTGGCTTCACTTTTGTACATTGGGAGGAGATAAAGATGCATTGTCCATCTGTATATACAGACACAGGTGATTGCTCTAGTTGGGGCTAAGTAAAAAAAAAAAATGATACGCCCCTTGGAAACGAGTTCACTCCGTTCATAACTCATCCCTCTCCCTTTGATAAAGCTTATTCCCGTGGTGGCCATTTTTATCGTGTTTTATATTCAGGCTTAGATTGAGAGGCCTGCGGGGAGCAGTGCATGAACAACAGAATGAATAAAAATGTCATATACTCCGAGCTGAAAAATATAAAGATGCTGAGGGGGTGTCATGAAAGTTATAGGGTTTAATAATCGAAGGTCATATTGGCCCTTTTATGTCTTCATATCTGCTCTCTTTTACCCACCTCGTGCAGCAATGCAAAGAGCACATCCCATTTAAATCCAATCACATAATTAATGATGCTTAAAGCAGTGTAGCCTATATAAGAACAGACAGTGACTCTGTGTGTATGTGTGTGTGAATGCTTCTTTTAAAGGAGCCTGTGTGTGTGTGCATGCGTGTGTGTGTGTGTGTGTGTGTCTGTGGACCCCCTGGGAGGCAGTGCAGCCTAAGCCTCTGCAGCCCCACCAGCAGCAGCAGCAGCAGTAACACAACATAGTGTAGCTGGGCTCTAATTTAGAACAGACAAAATAAGGGGAAAAAATAAAGCGCTGCTTTTGGCAAACCCTTCCTGGCTTATATTTAGAATGGGCACAGGGCCTTTCATGCCTTTGGTTTCCTCCTCTTACCCTTAACCCACACATATGCTTGGAGTGTGTGTTTTCAATTGTGTGTGCGTATAGAGGACCAGATGTGTAGCAGACTGGTAAGGAAAGCTGCTGCTAATGCAATTGCTGCTGAACTGTGTCATTGTGCCTGAAGGGAAAGCAGATTCAACATCTCCACCCTCCTCTGTGGCCCTTTTGTGTGTGTTTGCGTGTGACCTCAGTATCATCACCAGCTTTCACACAACAACACAATCCCTAACATACAGCCACAGTGACGTCAGCCGGACATTAATAGCAACGCCGCCGCTGATACTCATTGCTCTCTCTTGCCCATCAAGGTTTCCTGTTTTCATTTAAGTGTCTCCAGCAGGCCGGCTGGCTGTAAAGTGTTAACCTTGTAAAGGCAGTGAAGTCACAGAGCGTGGTGGTTAGCTAAGCAAGGAGGCTGCAGTCATTGTTCAGTCAGATGCTAGCTGCAGGAGGGCGGCATTCATTCTCTATGACTCATGGCCTCTTTGAGTGCGCAGCCTCCACTGTACGGGGCCAACTCACACCACTCACTTTGAAAAAGGATGAAAGTCTGAGGGAAGAAAATAAGTGCAGATGATACCTGGAGTACATGCACAGAAGCAAAATTAATATTCCTGCACCTTTCAAACATTTCTATTTACACTTGACTGTAAAAGTGAAGTGCCCAGTTTTGGCTCAGGTCTGGTGTTTGGCAGGTTTTGGTTCCCCTGAGTGGTTAATGAGCTGACACAACGAGAAGAGACTCAGTAATCAAGGAGAGAACAACTTTCACAACACTAGCCCTCAAGGTAAGAAAAACTTACTTGGCATGAAGGAGCAGATTGAAGAACATTGTCTTTAATCTTAATTAAACTAAAAAAAGAAGTGTGGCATCAGGGGTTGTTTCTGGACCAAAACATGCTGCTGCCCCTCTGGGTGAGTTTTGCTCTAAGCTTTAAATAAAAAAAAGAATGTGCAGAACAGAAAAACAATTTCTTAGGATATTTACTGGATTTTTTTTCTTTTAATTTATACCCCCTCTTGTCCATCATAAGTCTGATGTTAAATCTGTGGAAAACACTACCAACAGTAGCAATGTATAGCAGAGTATCATCTGCAAAATGTCGGTAAAAAGTATGGAAAACATCCATCTGTGATGCAGAGAGCCTCCGAGGCTACCTCAAGTTTCATAATGTCCCTGTAGAGCAATCAAAGTCTGACCAAAATAGCCTGAACCACACCCACACATGTGGACTTACCTGTCGAGATGAAAGGCAGCGATCTCAGCGTTGTGTCGTTCAAAGTCAGAGAAATAGAAGAAGTCGGGTGGGGTCTCCTGTTCCCGGGTCTGCCTGCAGAGACACAAAGAAATAAGGCTTAGAGGTCAGAGGTCAGATACAATTGTCATGCAAAGCCACGGTTTGACAGTCAGCAATATCCTAACCTGACCATGCATCATATGAAGACTTAGATCAAGACCCAAGAAGGTAAATGAACTGATTATCTTTAACCACTGTATGAACCGTCTTCTTACTTGGAGAGATGGTCATGTAGTTATGTAATGTATGTCATTTTCTGTGTTATACTGAATGTTACATTTCCTGTACTCTATCTTTATTTAGATCAGCCTGCCCTGATAGTGTTTGTGAACGGTCAAATAAACTATCAAACTAAACTGAACTGAAAGAATTTTCTTTTTTACAATTAACACTGTTACTTTAGTTCGAACTGATCCAACATGATGAAGAATATTTGGGACCTATCAAGAAAAGCATTGCAGATATGAGGTTATTAAGATGAAATGCTAACATGAGATCAGTTTTATATCAGAAGTATAGCCTTCCAGTTCTGCCTAAAATGGTGCATTAGGTCTGATGGTCTGCCGCTCCGTGATGATATGTGTAACAATATCAACAGTGTAGTAAGAGAGAGTGTAATGTTGGCTAAAAAATCAGCAGTCTGTTCTTTCCTCCATGAATCTAACCTATATTTTGAATCCCAGAGGGGTTCCCCAGTCCCCATGTATCAGAACATCTCCAGTTGTAAAATGTGGATATGGCACATAGACAGTGATTGTGGATCCAAATCAATCCAAATGAAATTCAGATGTCTTCAAAACAATTTCACATTTCTCATTCCAGACGAGGCCTCTTCCGTTATGAAACACTTACAACCGTTTGCCAAATACTGCAAAACAAACTTTTGCGAGCGACAACCAAAGCCCAATAAATCCTGTGTCCTTGGCTCAACAAAAAGAGCCCTCATCACAGTCACTGCGGCTGTTTAGTGGGCCGACGAGAAGCGGGGGACAACCGAAGGTCAGATACTTCCTCCTGAAGCGCCCACTCCTGTACCTATTTCTGTCCGCCTCTGATCCTTTTCCCCAAAAAAACTGCTTTGCAAACACATTCTGCCTTTAAGCTCTTACTGGAGGGAAAAGAGGCTCTTAAAGGCTTAAATCACAGAGCTGATGGAACACGGGCCAGGACGGGGCAGGACGGGGCAGGACAGAGAGGACGATTGGGGGTAAAAGGGTGAAAGTGAAAGTGAGTAGAGGGTGAAAAGGGGGTGTGGAAAAAATGTAAATGTGTTTGAATACACGAGGACAGCTGAGCAGACCATCTCCAAAATACACTCTCTCCTGCATTTTTGAATGATTTTTTTCTTGAAAGAAAACGCTGCATTCCCTTTTCCTTTTTTTATTAACAACAGTAAATACTTTCCAAGAAGGCAGCTGAGTGTAATGATTTGGACTGCAGCCCCTGCCATTTCTGCCTCAGCTCGTTGAGGGAGGATAAGAAGAATGGAAACTATCTTGGCAACTTCTCGTTTCGCTCCTTTTCTCTCTCTTTATTCCCTGCAGATGCTTCTCTCTCTCTTTCTCTCTCTCTGTTTATTCTGCTCAAAATCCTCTATCTTGCCTCCTCTGCTTCTCCCTGCTATCCGCCACGCAGAACTGTTTTCTTTTTTTGTCTCTTCTCGTCCATGGCTTAATACTTTTTATCTGTCTGCCGCCCTCGTTTCCCTGTGTGTCTCTCTCTCTCTTTTTCTCTCGCTCTCTCTCTCTTCGTTCGTCAGCTGGCTGGCTGATTGTAGCTCCACAGCTGCGTGGCTGACATATGCACCAGTCATTAACCAACCCAACACGAAGCCCAGAAACACATTCATCCAATAGAAATTCCTCAATTTTCTCCTCTGTTTATCGCCCTTCTTCTTCTGATTCTCTCTCTTCTTCCTCCATCACTCGTCTCTCTTGAGCACTTGACTGACAGCCACATGCAAATAAGTTGCCAAATTGGACCTAAGTAAACAGAAAATCATAATATTTGTGCTTATCAAAAGGGGAGCTAGCGTTCATAGCGCCTTTTTATATATTTCTGAACCTCAGTTTCCTCCCTCTCGTCTCCTCTAGCTCATTCTTCCCAGAGTTAAGGCCAGAGCGCCGTCTGTTGATTGTATCGCTCTCTCTCTCCTCCTCGATAGCCTCGCTTCAGGGACGCAGCTCTCGCTCTACATCAAGGAAAAATGAGACTGACTTTGAAAGCAGAGAGCTGTCTATTTACGCCTGTGACGCTCAGCTAACAGGACAATATCACTCAGTCCAGCATATGAGGTGACTACAGCTGTTTTACAGACGAGGACAGTTGTGCGAAGGCAGGGCCGGGATTTATTGTCCGCCAGATGAAGTTAGTCTTTGGGCGGCATATCTGTGGGGATTTTTGGAGACTGTTATAAATAAAGACTTGGAAAAGTTGAAACTGGAGTTGAATGATATCATTTGTTGGACTAGCATGAAAGGCTAAAACAATGTTTTTAAGAAGCTCTCTGCAATGAGAAATGTAAAAAAAAGTTAACTGTTCTGTCACTATAATCTGGATTTTTTTTTTAATGGAATTGACAACATTTAAAGAGTGAAAACTTATTCAGCTTTTTTGACAACAGGAGGTCTTGTATTAATTTCTTAAATTTGAAGCCAGCAACTGCTAAGATTAGCTTAGCATAAAGAAAGGACACAGGGGAAAGAGCTACCCTGGTTCCGTCCAAAGGTAACAAGCACACTTAAGTCACTAGTTAATCTGTTAAACTTTTGTCTATCTGTGCAAAAACACTTTATTTCTGAATGAGATTGTGTATAAGCCTTCATTAACTGCAGCAAAAGATGCAACACTGATGCAGTTGTCACTTTGTCAGTCGAAGTGTCGCCTTAAATTAACTGAATACATCTTTAATGACACTCCAGAAACACAAGAATTCCCCAAAAACGCATTATAAATACATGTGTGTTTTGGTGAAGATGAAACCACATGATTTCAGTTTTTTGTCACTGATTCATAACTGTTGAGGTTTTCAGGAATCACATTGAGGTTTTTTCTTTGAAAGTTTTAAATTATGGGATCTTCTGCAGAGTTACTTCGAAGTTGCCAGGCAACAATTAGAGCAACTGAACCAGGAAGTCACGTTAAGAGATGGCATCTTATTTAGTGATCTTTAGAGAGGATGGTAGGTGGATTTTGTGATTTCATGACAGAGAAAGGCCAGCTGTGGCTCAGTGGTAGAGTCGGTCATCGCTCAACCGGAAGGTTCGATCCTCAGCTCCTGCAGCCACATGCCCAATGTGGAGCAATTTAACCCCAAGTTACTCCCGCTGCTTCGTCGGCTGCGTATAATTTTGCATGAATGGGACTAGCTAATACTGATGGCCACTTTACAAATGGTGTGTGAATACATGTGAGTAGGTAGGTGTGACCTGCAGTGTAAAAACGCTTTGGGTAGTCAGAAAACTAGAATAGTGCTCTACAAAATCAAGTCCCTTACGGTTTAACCCTCTTTTTTGTACACTTATGCTAAGCTAACTACTAGTTATGTCTTCATATCTAACTGACAGGTATTCTCCAAATCGTACTCTTGCTAAGACAAAGAGGCCAATAAATCAGAGTATATCCCTAATAAATCTAACTGTGCATGGATGATAGCATACAGTCTGACTCTTATCCTAAGTAAAACTCATTTTGGGGTCACTGGGTTTTTATCAAGAACAGTACGACAGCATCAAATAAGTAAGGTACATTCTTAAGTAAACCAAGATCATGTTCTGAAAACTGAAAGTAAAGTAATCTGTTACATCCACAATTTAAAACCTTAACTTTACATTTCAAGAAGCTAACCCTAAAATTGCGATATTGGAGAGCTGACTTGCCAGTATTTGTGACCTTGCTGAGCATACAGGGGTCAGGGAGATATTTTTTTGGACCATGAGTATGAGCAAACACTCTCCTGCAATGATTAATGATCATTCAGCTTGAAAGAAATCCACATGCATACTTCACACAGTCCTGCTACATTTCTGTCTCTATAGGGGAAGCTGCCACAATAAGCTGCTTTATTCACACTTCTATACATACACTACAATATATATGAGGGAACACAGCTCAGTGTAGGTGTGCGCGTTTTGCGTCGCTGCTTTTTTAAGTAGTAAGTAAATGGTAATATGAGGGAGCATCATGTGAATACAAGCACGTGTTTTCATTCGAGAGCGATTTCTCAGCCTGGCTTGAGATGTGGCTGCACTGATGCTCTCCTCTCGCTGAATGCCAGCCAGGAAGCAGGAAGGCTGTATAATTACCGTGATCCACAACCAATTCAAAATGTCAATAAAGTTATTTAGAGCATGACATGAAGCCTCCCCCCCCCCCTCCTGCTGACAGCGAGAGAGGGCGACTGAAAAGAGAGAAAAAGTAAAGAAAGGAGGGGTGGTAAAGTGTGAAAAGACACTGAAGTTAAATAGGGGAAATAATGAGGCAAAGTGTTGAGGACAAACTAGAGTACATGTGTCTCAGTGTTCTTTGAAGTAACAAATATGCAGCTGTTACAGGTTATGTAACATTATGTTTGAATCCGCGTAGAGCAGCACCTGTGTTCAGGCAAATCTGAGCGTGTTGTGATCAAGCGAACCATTAGGGGCAGGGAGGAAGCGGTGTCGTCGGCGTAAGGGCGGAGAAAACATACATAAATTCATGACCACATCGTAAAGTCTATAAATGTTTGAGCGCACAGAGTGTACTAGGCTCTGAGAAAACAAGAGAGGAGGGCAGTGATGTTCAGGAGCTTCTGGGCTGCGGGGTTGAACTGAACCTTTCAAATATTTACAAATTCAAGGCAGATTTATGCTGAATGAAAAAGCAGAAATCCTTCAATAAGCTGCTGGAGGAGGCATATTTTCTTTCTCTCCTCAGAAAGACAAGAGTAGAACTGCCAAGAAACTGAATATTTTTTTAAGTAGGTTTTGGCACCACTTTAGTCGCTGACACAAGATCATTAATATAGTAGCAGGTGAGACTTACTGATCTGAGCA